CACAAAATTTTCTTAAAATTGATTTATTTTCACTACAGCTGTTTAGGCAGAGTGCTTTCTCAAGTGATGTATTTTTAGTACGCGTCTACATTTTATAATCTTTAACGGAATAAGTTGATTAGGGGAGAGCTGTTTGTCTACCTTGAGAAGTTGGTCATTTAAAATTGTAAACCACATATTTTTTGAATGTCAAAAGTATAAACAACCCACCAACAACCTAATTAAAAGAATGATGGACAAGAACATCCCACTTCCTGGTTATATTCTCTTTCTACTATCACTCAATGAAAAGAAAATGTTTAACTGCTTGATAACCTTTTTGTCTGATAGTAAAGTATGCCTGTAATTAGTACGATTTGTAACCTATGTTTAGAAAAAATTCATGAAAAAAATCTTAAAAAAAATATTAAAAAAAAAAATAAAAAAAAAAAATAAAATAAAAAGAATATAAAAAAATACTTAAAAAAATAGATTTAAAAAGAAAAAAAAATAAATTAAAAAAAAAGAAAAAAAAATAAAAATATACTAAAACAATCACTAAGAGGATCTAAACCTCCGAGATGTTGAATCGAGTTTATGTCCTAACGTAGTGAAAAAAAAAATATATATTACCATAGTTGTAGTTATTAACATAGTAGGTAGATATCTATATTTTTTATTTTTTTTTTATTTGTAAGATGTATACACTATGAATTTCTTATGGCGTCTTGCAATAACTAAATTATAATAAAGGTATGATACAGTATTTATTAACATAGTATGTACATTAGCTTAGTAAGGAATAATTATATTATTCTTATTATTATTATATTAATCATGTTTCACTAATTGACATATTTAAATTCTTAAAAAAAAAACTATGTTGATGGAGACTGGCTGAATGGCAATTGTCCAAGCCAAGAGGAAAAAAATTGTATCCGTATTTTTTAATTTATTAATTTCCATAAGCTTAAGGCCTTTATTTTAAATATGGGGAATTTTAAATTGGTCATTAAAAGAATGATTATGATCTAGAAGGTGAAGTGCGTACGTAAAATCTGTTTTTCTATTATTGAAAGCACTTTTATGATCTGCTATACATTTTTTAAAGGTTCTACCAGTTTGACCGATGTAAGATTTTGGGTAGTAACCACATGTAAGTTTGTAGAAGAAAAAACACTGTGGAAGTGTTTTTTCTTTTGGATCTTGTTATTCTTAATATATTTGCTTATTGGTTATTTGGGTTATTGGGTATTTGGTTATTGTTTGTTCTAAAAGACGGTTTTATTCTTTTCTTTTTTATATGTTTGGCTATTTTTGACGATACCTTATCTGTAAGTGTAATCTTACAAAAAGTAGGTACTTGGTTTTTCTCTGGTGGTGGAAAAATTAATTTTAGGGCTTGTGCCTAAGGGACTACCCCCACCGTACCTCCCATGCACTTCTAGCGACTTTTTACGCAAAGACACAAAAACGATTTTTTTGTGTTTTTTGATATATGCTGTCCCAAAAGGAATCTCGCAAAATTAAAAACGGGCCCTCTATCACTTATGGTTAGGCGAAAAATGCAGGCAAAAGCATTTAAGCTTCGATATAGTTTGTTTTAAGTATCGTCTTTAGGTATACAAATTTTGAAATTCATATGTGTACAACTCGTTAAGTTATGTATTTATTTGACTATTTGTACACCAAAAAATTGTGTACGACTTTACAAAATTCCCTAGGCTCTCCTAGTTCTTTTATATGTAATAAAATCTACTATTTAAAATGCTTATTTTGGGCCCAGCTTAAATTTTGCAAATTTGCAGGTTTTTGCGGACTTTGCATTGCAAAATGATTATGCTAACACTATTAAATCGATCCCAACTAAATTTAGCATACGATTCAGTTGTATTATAAAGTTTTTTATGTGGAATATGAAGGCTATAATTTATGTTTAAGGAGTCGAAAAAATTTAAAGGAAAAACTTCAATTTTTGCACATTTTTTTCCCAATTATTGCTATTTTTAAAACAAGAAACATAATTTTTTTTCAATTTCTAGCTAGTCAAATATTATGTAATATTTAAAAAGCGAAACTTTTACCTTATATAATTTTTTTGTAGGAGTAATATCTTTCGAGTTAGTCCAGGCTGTGAGGCCGCTCCCGTTGGGAAAATGTTTCTAATTCGGTTTCTTCGCGGATTCCGGTTCAAAAATGCCCCCTTTAAACAAATCTGAATGGTGCCGGGCGAAATTTTTGGGCAGAAATTGTTTAAACAATTTTTTTTAAACAAAGTCCAAAAATAATTTTTTTTTAATCTGGAAAACGTTTTTTTTAGGTTTTTTGGGCCATTTTAAACAAAAAAAGTCTCTTGTCATTTTTCTCTAAAGTTGATAGTTTTCGAGTTATAAACGATTTAAAGTCTGAAAAACGTGAAAATACGCATTTTTGAGGCTTGAAAACACATATGTAAATTATTATTTTTGAAGTTACCAAGTGTCTAAATCAAAGTTTAAACATTCAACTTCAAGATTGTGAAGAGTAATCGGGGCTTATTTTAATTTAGACCGTTGTTTTTTAATTGTTAAGTATGCGCGTACACTCAATTTTTCAGCCGCCGCGCGCTACCGTGCGCCTCTATCGTACTTATGCATAGTTTACATATACTTACAAATAATTATTATTTATTGAGTATATATTTATTTATATCAACTGAGTTATAATATAAATTTCGTCTAAAGTCTAATAATAGTTACATAAAATAATTGTACAAAAGATTGTTAAATAACAACCTAATAAGTATCACTCAGTAAAAGTATCTTTGTTTTCACAAAAATCTAAATCACATCCACATAATGGTACACAGTTGACATGATTTTTCTTGCAGTTGCAAGCATTAGTTTTGCAAGTCTTTTTGCATTTGCACGGTATCCCAACCCACCCCTATCAGACATATACCTAATATCCATATTGTGTAAAATCGAGAGTTTGATAGCGAGAATATATGGCATTTCGCCAAATATATGTTTTAGACGGTTTTAGCGAAAGCTCTTAACAAGTGTTGGTAAAGTGCGTCAGAGGTACAAGGTATATTGGCTAGATTAAATTAAATTTTCAGTCACACTGTCTTTTCGTCGAAGAGCAGCATTTTGTATTGTTATGTAAAAATCTACTTTAGGTTTTTGCACTAACTTAATATTGTTGATGTTATTACAAAAAATACAAACTAAATTTTCTTCGGTAAGTTTTCATTTAAGAAGATTTACGGAAAAAGACATTTTAAATCCATTCACATTTTTTTTAATAACACATTAATAATATAATACTCTTTTAATGGGCATTAAACAATAGTCTTCCTAATGATCGTTTAAGTAATAACAAATCAAGTATGAGCGCGCGATTGTTAAACAGGTAAAAACTTGCATTGTTGCGATAGTATATTGTTTTTAAACACCGCGCAATTTAAAATTAAGTTTACTAATATTAATATTTACTGCATTGTATTATTTAGATAATAATTTAAAAATATTATTTACAATTGATATAAATATATACTCAATAAATAATAATTATATTGTTCAAATTTGGAAGAAAAAAAAACTATATACGGTTATTACATTGCGATGATTGATTTATTTAATTAGCCCAATGACAATAATTAATACCTACATAAATAAATTATGGAAAAAACTATGTTAATAAACTTCAAGGATTTGTTCGGGTTTTTTTTGCGTAAGTGTATATGTAAACTATGCATAAGTACGATAGAAGCGCACTCTAGCGCGCCGCGCCGCGGCGGCTGAAAAATCGAGTGTACGCGCATATTTAACAATTAAAAAACAACGGTCTAAATTAAAATAAGCCCCGATTACTCTTCACAATCTTGAAGTTGTTTAAACTTCAATTTAGACACTTAATAACCTCAAAAATAATAATTTACATATGTGTTTTCAAGCCTCAAAAATACGTATTTTCGCGTTTTTCAGACTTTAAATCGCTTATAACTCGAAAACTATCAACTTTAGAGAAAAATGATAACAGACCTTTTTTGTTTAAAATGACCCAAAAAACCTAAAAAAAAACGTTTTCCAGATTAAAAAAAAATATTTTTGGTATTTGTTTAAAAAAAACTGTTTTAAACAATTTCTTTGATGGTACACAAGGCAAATATCGAACACAGTAGGTAATCAAATCTTGCCCAAGTACTTTCGATCACAAGATCATCCTCAGGGGCATTTCGTCAGTTGTGGCCTATCCAGCAGTAACAGAATGTCATAAATGTAAATTGGGACATAACAAATACACTAAACAAAGACAAACAAACACTTTAAAATTTAAAAATTGGAGAAGCTACATTTTATATAGAAGCCGGAGACAGAATTTGATTGACATTGAATTTGATGACATTTGATTAACTACTGTGTTCGATATTTGCCTTGTGTACCATCAAAGTTCATTTATTCGAACATTCAACCTTATATTGATTTTTTAAACAATTTCTGCCCAAAAATTTCGCCCGGCACCCTTCAGATTTGTTTAAAGGGGACATTTTTGAACCGGAATCCGTGAAGAAACCGAATCAGAAACATTTTCCCAACGGGAGCGGCCTCACAGCCTGGACTAAGTTATTCACGAAAATATGGGGGCAAAAAGCAAAAATTTTCGATTATTTTTTCAGATTTTGTTGTGATTATTGATACAAGGTACCTACATTCTGAAGTGATTTCAACAAAAAAAAAATATGACTCCTATGGAAAATGTCCATTATGGTCTGCTTTTCGACCCATACCACCTGGACTATCCATTCAGGAAAAATATTATTGAAATTACAATTTGATATCGAAATCGTATATTTTTAAACTAATTTTTTGTATCCTCTGTAAAGTTACAGTAAATAAAGTTAGCAGAAAGCTGACAAAATGCTTTTAAAAAAGTCCGTTCTTTCCCATTCTAATCTGCGCTGACGCCGTGACGACCTGCTTTAAGAGTGCGAAAATATAGTAGAAAGAACATGATAAAGACTTAAAGACTAAACTTACTTGCATTTATTGCATAATCTTCCAAAACTGTATTAGTTTTTACTTGTAAAATCGGTAATGGTTTCACAGCAACAAACCTTACAGATGACCGTCTTGAAGGTTTTGAACTTGTTATCCGTGAAGATTTGCCAGGGGTGACTGTTTTTCCTAAACAAAAAAATAAAATTATCATTAAGGTATTTATGTATATTAACTTTTTATATAATCAAGTTTCTTTAAACCTCTCTTTTAAGAGGAACTGTTGTGGCATTTGGGAGTAGTTATTGTGCCTTAAATATTTAATCATGAGTGAAAATCATAAAGAGACTGTTTCACTTCCTTTAAGGGGACGACGCAAAAAAGAAAATAAAGATAGGTTTTAGTTGTTAATATCTTTTCCCCCCTCAAGAACTTTCCTTCTATTTGTTAAATAGTTGTACCTTAAGACCTGAAGATGCATAGCAAATTATAGTATATACGAAACCGGTCGTTGTTGGTAGAATAAATTGATTGTGAGTAAGTCTTATTCTTTTTTCTTTTTACCTATTTGAAATGGACTCACATGGGCAACATATTTAGGATTTAAAATACAAATGGAAGAAAACCATAAGTCTACGTTGTGTAATAGTGCAGTGGATTAAACTCCACTCTTGTATTCGTTATATTCCATGTCCCAAATACATCTTCTCTTTTGTACTTCATCGATGAACAATTCCGTATTAAAACTTTCAACTTCCATTGTAGACAGATCACTTTTCAACACGTTTTGTAAAAAAATCCTTCGCCTACTTCGGTCATTACTTTACCAATCGGGAAACTTTTTAGTGAATATAATATAGGCATTGAGTACAGTCATATCAATAATTTCCATAAAAATCCTAAATGGCCATCTCCTACTTGAAGGAACACATGTATATTCTCTAGTCATTTTATCTCCGGTGTCAACGGACCCTTTGATTTTATTATAGTGTAAAAGAATTTCAGGCTTACGTTTTGATTTTTCATCAGAGGATATTTCGTTGCTGTGAAACTGTGTCGATAAAAGAATAACTGCTTTCTTTTTTGTAGGTAGGTAGGTAGGTAGAGCAAATTCGGCAGAAATCTCTTTTTTGTTAGCCCTTAGAGTTCCCGTAATTGTAAGTTGATGTCTTAGCAGTTCTTCGGCTAGGGGAATCGAGGTAAAAAAATTGTCTGTAGTAACTCCACTCCTCGATCCAAAATAGGGTCTAACCATACCTAAAACTACCCTAAAGCCTTGATTCATTTCTAGTTGTTTTTCTATCATTCCAGTGTATATCTGACTGTTAAAAATATAAGCAATATCAGGGTTCGAACAAACCCAAATTTTTTTTCCATATCGACCAGGTTTACTTTTTATAGAAACTCTAAATCGACTTTTTTTTCCTCTGAATGTAGCTAACCTCTCATCGACTGTGATATTTTGACCAGGTGAATAATTATCAATGCAATTTTTTACAAATTGGTCATATATATTGCGAACTGCTTGAAGTTTATCTTTTATTTCTATTATTCTATTTGTTCTTGTGGAGACGTCATCAAATCTTATGTGTCTGTAGATCATCTTGAATCTATTTTGAGACATTACAGCAGTAAAAAATTTTTGAATAGTTCATTTTTGGCCCAGATTACCGCCAATTGAAGTTTTCTTCCGTGATTCCTTCTACTAGCTATAAGTACTGCAATGAAAGTGTATAATTCAGTAATTGTAACATTTTTCCAAACCATTTGATCAGCAGGATGCTTTTCATTACATTTTTCAGTATATACTTCTCCGTGTCGATTTGTGTGCGTGAATATGTCAGCTAGTATATTCTCATTTATATAGCATTCCAATTTCTTTTATTGAAGTAAGAGCCATGCTAAAACAAATTGCGAATTTATTAAAACATTTGTTTATTTTCAAAATGTAATATTTTGAAAATTACGTCACCTATTATTTTGTAACCTTCACGACAATTGACTATATTATGAGCCCTGCGCCTTGTAGGTGCAGGTGGTTGTGTTTTTCATTCATATCCAGATTTCGATTTTAGTATTTCAGCAACTGGCTCAAAAGTAGATTTTTCACTTTCGTTTTCAAGGACTGTAATTTCATCTAGAACTATTTCTTGTTCTTCGATATTTTCCGTACTTTCTGATTCACTATCACTAAGTTCGCATTCATCGTCACTATTGTCACTTTCTTCCAAAATTCTATGTAATTCATCTTCAGTATAATATTTAGGTACGTCGCGTCATGCGTCATTTTCTGTGAAATACACACATCCGTGAAGTAAAGCAAAGTAAAGACTACTAATAATCGAAATAAAAATAGAATATTGTTTATGTATTTAGGTGGCCTACCACAGGAATATATGTATATGATTTCAAGTTACGGAAAGGTTAATGGAATGTGTATTAAAAAAAAAACTCATTCAATCAATGATGGCTAAGGTGGGTAATTAATTAAAAATAACTTACTAGTAAATGAAGATGATTGGTCATCTTTGGCAGGTCTTGAGAATAATGTACTTCTTTTATATAAGGACAAAGATCTCCTCCAACTTTTTCCAGCTTTCAGTACTACAGATTTGGGTGATTTAAAACTTTTTGGCGCCTTGAAATAATTTGAATCTACATATGAACTATTTACAAGATCTGAGCTCATAGACAAACTTTCACTTTTTTCTTGAGGAACATTTGTTGTACTTCTGTTTGTGTTTGCTTCATTAATCTCAGATTGAATTTCACTTGGATCATTGGATCTTGAAGCATTTAGTTTTACAGACTCATTTTCATTTTTTCTCTTAGACTTCCTGTATTTACTAGCAGATCTATTTTTGGTACTTAAAACATAATCATCAGACTCCAGGTTCGTTGAACCCTCAATTTCCTTTTCTTTCGTATATTCAGAAACAACCTCGATACTTCTTTCAACAACGACTCTTTGCTTTGTTTGAGCATCATCAGAAATTTTATTTTCTACTGAAACCTGAACTTTTAAATTGTATGATTTTTCTTCATCTTCATGTATTCTTTGAGTTCTTGGCTTACTGCTCTTATTTTTAACATCTGATAATCCTTCCTTAGTTGCTGAATCTTCAGATATATTTAAATTAATATTCTCTTTACTCTTGTGTGTTTTATATTTACTTCTGCTACGTTTATAAGAACTAGATTCAGTTGTACTACTATCGGGTATGTTAATTCCATGTTCAGAAGCATCTAAAATGTTATTAATACTCTTCTTAGGACATATAGGATTTTCATTTTCATTATTTAATATAATTTCTTCTTCTCCGATATTATTGAGAGATTTTAATGAATCTTCAGCTGTTATATGCACGATAATGCTTCTATTATTTTGTGAGCTATTACCTGATCTTGATTTTTTAATTCTATTAGGTTGAATTGTTTTATCTGCTTGTACAATTGTTTCACACATACCATTTCCATCGGAATCTATTAAATCATCCTCAGCTGTTACATGCACAAATGAAGATTTTCTGGAAGAACGGCTACTTTTAACGTTATCAGTAATATTGTAAGTGGATGGCCTTTTTCGTAAACTGATTTCTCTTGTATAATGTTTTTTAGCTCTTTTATTATCTTTAGCAAATGTTTCTATTATAGAACTTTCTATTATGTCAGAACCATAAGAAGTATTACTTATAGAACAAATTTGTTTCTCTGTGAGATTGGTTTTATCCCCATAATTGTTAGTATAAAAGGTTTCAAAGTGTTCCCTATTGGATATATTCATAAATATTTGATCAACTTGTAATTCAGAGTAAACTTCAGTTGTATGATTAGTTTCAACAATATCCAAACTTTTTTTGTCTCTGACTAATCTTTCAGTGCAAATTGGCATCAGATGGCTGTAATCATTTGCTATAAGTTTGACTACAAGTTTTTTGTTTGAAAAGACATGTTTAGAAGAAATTTGTCCACATTCTTCATAGCTATGAGTATTACCATTTGGTGACAATACTCTGTTGTCTTCTTCTGTGCATTTGTTAACATTTGTATTATTCATAGAGAGAAATTTATCTTGAGAATTTTTTTCAAAAATATTTGTTAAAATAACCTTTAATTGTTTTTTATTTAGAGGTAATGTGTTTTGATCCTCTTTGAGAATTTGTTCTTGATGATTAAGGTCCAAATTGCTAGCATAGAATGATTCAAAGTCCTCTTCTTTAGATTCCAGCACTGGTGAATTTGCCACATTAATTCTTAAATCTTCTGTCTGGTTAAAACCAAGAACTGTATCTGTTGGAGCATTTTGTCCAGAGATATTTTTTAAAACAACCTTTAATTCTTTTTGTATTACAGGAAATTCTTGTTGATCTTCTTTTGAAACAGATTGGTATTGATGATTAAGGCCCGAATTGTTTAATTTACTAGTAGTTTGAACTTCAGATAAATCTTCTGTATTATCCATAAGTTGGGGACTTAAATTATGTGAATAAAACTTTTCAAAATTTGTTACTGAATTAGGCACATCACTAATTGATATATTGGGCATTTTTATATACAACTCTTTATTTTTTTCTTTGTTTTTGTTATCTGATTCTTCATGGGAACCATCATCAAAAAGAGAGGAATGTTTTTTATGTGTTGTTGTGTTAAATGTTGTGATTTTTCTTTTCGTGACAAAATTCACAGTTGATAGCTGAGATATCAAACTCTCCTGCTGGTTGGGAAGAGATATATGTTGAATTTCGGATTTAGCAAAAGATTCAAAACTTGTTATAGCTTTATTTTTTCTGGATATATATTTATGTCTTTTCTTGAAAGATTTTATAACTTTTCTATGTCTCAGTGTTATAAAACTTGTTCTTCTACCAGGTGAATTAAAATCTTTTGAATTATTTATTTTTGGAGAATATTCTTTCAAGACCATTGAAGGTGGTGCATATTTAGAATTGTTCTTATCAAAAATTAATCTTCTCAGAGGTGTATTTATACTAGTAGGTGCAGGAAATTCATTGTTCCAGCTGTCAATTTGCTGAAACGATTTCTTTAGTAAAGAATTAACTTTTATTGGAGATATTGTGTAATTTTCAATTTCGGCCTTAGAAGGAGCTATGGGAGTACTACAATGTACAAGTTTCTGTTGCAGATTTCTTGCAAAATGATTACTACTATTTTCCATCAAACTTATATTTTTTGGTATTGTTATGTAACTCAACGAAGTATTTGGTTTCTTCTTAATGGTCTCAATTTCCAGACTTTCTTCAATCCTTTCTGTTGAAGGTTGATGTAGATGGCTTAACTGAGATTGTTGACTGTTAGAATCATTAGTCAAACACAAATTGGCTTTTTGTCGTCTAGTCTTTGGTGATGATACTAAAATCTTGTTTTCATTACCAGAATTTGACTTTAAAGAATCATGTATGGTAGGTGGTTTTGGTGGACTCTTTTTAGTTTTTAATAATTTGTCAAATGTATCTTCTGTACTTATTTGTAAAGAATCATCTTTTAATAAAGATTCGCAGTTTCTTCTTGTGGGCAATTCTTGAATTTTGAGTTTTTGTTTCTTTCTTCCTAATAGCCGTTTTGTCATATTTTTTGCAAATAAAATATTAAAAGCATCTATAGAGTTATTAACTAAACTAGTATTTGAATTTACGTACGTTCTAACTTTCTTTGCAGGTGCCATTCTCACAAAATTTTCAATCAAAAGTTTAAAATTAAAATTTTCCAGTAATAGTAAACAAGATTTGTTTATAATACATGACAGTCGCTAGTACCACCACACCAAACCCTGAAACAGCGGGAGAAGAAAAAAATTCAAAAATTCACTTGAAATTAATAAATGATAGGGACAATTTTTAATTATTTGCTCAATAATTAATTTTTTAAAATTTTTTCGCTTCATAATAACATAGAATTAAAAATATTCACGTATGTATAGTTGCATACTATGCAGATAATTTATGATTAATTTCTAAAAAAATATTCATTTTACATTAGTATTGAAACAATTTTTGGAACATGGAAAAAACAACAAAACATCTCACTACATGAAAAGCTGCAACCGGTTTTATATACCATAGACCTATTCGCTGTGAGCCGATGAGTAGAGTAGAGGGGATTTGACAGTTTTCACCAACGCTGTTAGTGGCAGTTTTGTGCATTTAACTTGTAAACATTCAAATAATGGCGAATATGGATTTTTCAAAAAGAAAAATATATGATACATGTAAAAATACTGGGTACAACAGTCATTGTAAATTTTATTCATTTCCTGTTGCCAAGCATAAAATAGTTCAAAGAGAAAAATGGATTATTGCTATCAACGAGAAAAATAAGTAAATAACCTAACATGATATTTGTATGGTGTAAAATTAAAAAGCTATTATATTCCGAAACATTGCGTACATGCCCTGCATCAACTAAACCTTTTCCCTTTTTTGGTGTAGCTGGTTGAAATGGGATATCATGTGATATAGACTTTAAACCAGTATAATGGTTAATATCCATTTTGATAAAATTAAAACAAATTTAAGAGGTGGAGGCCATAAAACGAAAGAAGAAGAGGAAGAATTAAAACAAATTGATATCTAAGCACTAAGGCCTACGCACACAAAAAATAACTCAGCAAAAACAGAATAAAATCAAGTATTACAACTAAACAACTAAAGAATATAGACGTTTTAAGCATAGTACATGTATTGTGGTTTTAAGCGTCTATAACCTTAAATATTTGCTTTAACATTAAATATTTTCATATAAACTTCTTCTTTTTCTCAATGACCTCTTGCGTAAGTAGTCATCCAGTCGCAAGAACTGATATCTTAAATATTATAATTATAATGAATAAAATAACAAGGCGTAATTACTTTTACTATTAATTCTGTGTATTCGTTCATTAATCAGTTTACCATAATATTTCAGTTCATTATTTTGTATTTTTAAATAAATATCTATTTTTCTCGTTTTGTCATATTTCATTTACACTGATTTTACAAGAAAAGTACAAGTTTCAAACCGCGAGAGAGCGCTACCGGCGAAACTCACAGCGAATAATATATTATTTAGTAGCAGAAGGTATACTCGATTCGCTAATCCCAGTCCGAGTGATTTTAGTATGTAATTACATGATACTATGAATAACAAGCATCGAGCAAAAAGATAAAAGAGGGAATCTAATCGTTAGGATTAGGAGACCAAAAAAGTGGCCTCTGATGGCGGGCATATCCGGAAATGCAAAGGCGCTAAATTTAAATTTTCCAACACTTGTTAACAATAGCCGTAAAATATTTTTCAGACAAGAAAGTTTTAATTAAATATTAACGATAATAATCTAAAAAGTGACACAATTGGTAAAAAACTTCAATATAAATAAAATTTCATGTGACAGTTGGGACAAACAATAACATAACCAAACTAAATTTGACTTCTTAAACAAGGAAAGAGACTGTCTATCCTTGTTTAAAGTGGCCTCTCAAGATAGCACTTCCTGTCTAACAATATTTTTGTCCCCACTACCTTTACATTCCCTCTTTTATCTTTTTGCTCGATGATAACAAGATAGGATCTTCCCGTAGCACAAAATCGGTCGTGTTCGCGCATGCCGTCATTGGAGAGTAGAATTTGAATTCTTGTTAAAGTTAAATGTGATTTGTATGCATTCTGTGATGAAATTACTAGACGAAAATAAGTTAAGAGGTTCAATAATTACAATAATCGTACACATATGGATATCTCCAAACTATTTATTAAAGATTATTTATTGACACATACAAAAAACTGACATTTCGAACGTGCAACTCTCCAATGACGTCACGACTTATGGGCAATAACCAATGACGTATAATATATAGACTACGCAGTCCCCTATTCTCGCTATAGAATCGAGTGTCCGAAAGATCTCGGCTCAAGGTTGAAGGTATGTTTATCAGAACAGCGGCGTGCTCATTTATATATTAATGACAATAATTATTTTTTTAATTAAAATTAAATATTTATGATTTCTTTCTGTTCCCGTTTATAAGAGAAATAATTATTTTGATAAAATAGTATGGCATTGTACTAAAATAGTAAGTAAATAACTCTCAACAATTTAAAATAAAATTTGCTTGTCACACAAAATAGAGAAAATGTTTTCATACGGCTATGATGTTTTCAAACACAAGATCAACTTCGTGATGCTTCGTAAGAAATCATGAACTTCGTGCATCTTCGTATCAAAACAATAAACAATAACAAAGGTATTCATGTTTTGGACACTTTTTAAAGCGTTCACCGAGTCTATATATTATACGTCATTGGCAATAACTTATCTTATTATCATAGTATCATGACAGACTAGAAGTAGCTGGAAATTACTATACAACCAAGCGCACGTGCTCATAACACATTTCATTAGAGTATTTCGTAGTATTTCGTGAACAAATAGAAGAAATGGAACAAAATTTCAAAAAAAAAAAAACGAAATTAGAGGAGCTTACGAATACCTAAAAAAGATAAAAATTATTTTCAGACCCTACTTGGAACACAAGTAGATATGGAAGATGAAATGGGTACGAACCATGTAGAAGAGAACGAAGTTGAAGTAGAAGCTCCAACCATAGAGGAAGTTCTCGAAGCTATTAAGGCCCAGAAAAACAATAAAGCCCCGGGAGTTGACGAGATTCCAGCAGAACTGTATAAGGTAGGTGGCAACCACCTATCAAGTCATATCCACGCGCTTATCAAAGAAATAGGGCAAGAAGAGAAAATACCCGACGAATGGAAGAAAAGTATAGTATGCCCAATCTATAAAAAAGGAGACAAACTCCAATGCAAAAACTACCGTGGAATTTCTCTATTATATACAGCGTATAAAGTCCTCACGTATATTATAAACCAGCGACTCCAACCACTAGCAGAAAATATTATTGGAGAATATCAGACGGGGAAGATCGACAATGGATCAAATATTTACAGTCAAGCAGGTCTTGAGCAAATCGTGGGAACACGACATTGATGTTCACAACGTGTTTGTAGACTTCAAACAGGCATACGATTCAGTCAAAAGGGACAGACTATACTATATATTGGCAGAATTAGCAATACCACATAAGCTAATTAGACTCATTAAAGCCACAATGGATGAAACTCAGGCATGTGTACGAATACAAAACAACCGGACAGACTTTTTCAAAATCTCGCAGGGACTAAAGCAGGGAGATGGGCTGGCACCAACATTGTTTAACCTGGCACTGGAGTATGCGGTTAGGCAAATGCAAACTGGACGAGAAAACCTACTGACCAATAAAACGGTTCAACTGGCTGCCTACGCCGATGATATTAATATTATGAGTAGAACATCAACAGGAGCACAGGAAGCATACGCAGAGTTAAAAACACAAACGAAAAGGCTAGGTCTGGAAATTAACACAGAAAAAACAAAAATAATGGTACAGACGAGAAGAAATATAATCCCACAAAACATTATACATGAAGATGACATTGAAACGGTTGGAAAGTTTACATACCTGGGAGTAGAAATATATGCCGATGGAGCAGAGGATGGAGAAATACGAAAAAGGATAACGCAGGCAAACAAAGCTTATTTTGCCCTCTCCCATATATTTCGGTCTAAAAGTGTCCACCGAAATACAAAGATGAGAATCTATAAAACTTTAATTCGGCCAATAGCATGTTATGGCAGCGAAGCATGGGTCCTGAAAGAAACATCCAAAAACAAACTCGACACATTCGAAAGAAAAGTACTGAGGAGAATACTAGGACCTGTGAGGGAAAACGGAATCTTCAGAATTCGATATAACAACGAGCTCTATCAACTGTATAAGGAAACACCCCTGTCAGACTTCATTAGAATACAAAGATTGCAATGGGCCGGACATGTGATACGAATGGGAGAGGATAGGCTACCAAAACGAGCACTGAACGCCAGAATGCAGGGAAAGAGACCAGTTGGAAAGCCAAGAAAGCGCTGGGAAGACACAGTAAGCAGCGACGCACAAGCACTTTTAGGAGTCCGTGTATGGAGAAGAGCAGCCACAGACAGACAAGGGTGGAGGCAAAAAATAAAGGAGGCCAAGGCTCATTTTGGGCTGTAGTGCCGTAGAAGAAGATTTCGTAGACCTCTTTTGCAAAATTATACTATGACTGAGAAATTTATAGCATGTATATAGTAAGTTTCTATTATATATAAAAAATATATTTTATAAAAAATAATTTAGTTTATATCGTTATAGTAGGTTGCGCCAAATGTAGGCAACCAACTTAAACTTTTGTTAGCATTTAGCTGGAGTTTCTTGAGAATATATTTAATAAACGTTTAATATTTTCCAGCTAATTTATTTTTTTTTTCAAGTGATGATAATAATGCTGAATAAGCAAACTTTCAAATGATATATAATCACAAGACGTACTTAATATTGTGATTATAATCGTTATAATAAGGTACGTTAGATAAAAAATATCATAATATTTATATTAAAATTAAAAATATCATTTATCAAAAATATAATTCAATATCATCAAAAATATAATTTAAAAATATCATAATATTCTATTATTCCTATCATAAACTAGTTTTGGACGAACCGGGATTTTACCTTTTTAACTAACGTACTTTATTATGAGGATTATATAATACAATATTAAGTATGTTTTGTGATTCAATATCATTTAAAATATTGCTTATTCAGCATTATTATCATCACTTTTAAAAAATAATAAATTAACTGGAAAATAATAACGTTTATTAAAAATATTCTCAAGAAACTGCAGCTAAATGCTAACAAAAAGTTTCAGTTGGTTGCCTAGATTTGGAGCAACTTAACGATATAAAATAAAATACTGTAACTTTTTTATAAAACATATTTTTTTATAAATAATATATATGTTATATATAATAGAAACTTTATATATTTATATATGCTATAAATTTCTAAGCTAATTTTTAGAAATATATAATTTCATAAATATATCTTAGTGATCAATCTACGCCTAATGAGCAAATAATTAAAAAAAAATCGTTGGTGTTTTGAATAAGTCTTTGTTCTAAAGAACATTTATCATATTTATTTAAGAAAAACTTACCAACACATTATCTGATAGAACAAATAGAAAACTTTGACTATCCCTACTAATAAAATTCAAAATAGAACTAACTAATTAACTAAATAGAACTAACAAAGAATTAAACAAAAATAGTAGGACAATAAAACTATATTAGCTAAAATAAACAACGCGAATAATACAAATATTTACTACAATATATTAAATTGTAACAACTCAAATATTATATTTTAAATATACAGGGAAAATTTTATGGGTTTAGTATACACTTCCACTATTTAGAATAATTCTTCTTTTTTTCTATCAATTCTAAATAATTACAGATCAATATTACTATTAATTTATTTAAAATTTAGATCTTTCCAATAAATTTAAACACGATAAATATAACTGTTCCTAGTTAATAAACTTATTTTCAAAATTCATTATTTTTAATCATTACCTTCAAATCAATTTCGCACGCTACTGGTGTACGTTTAAATAAAAAAATGTTTGGGAGCATGAACAAATGAACATCGATAATCGATTATAAAACCTGTGAGTGAATAATCGAAATTAGTGGCATCCTCATATGTACCTGTCATAAGCATGTATAAATATAATCAAATGTTACTAATATATTAAATCATAGATAAATAATATAATAGTAGAAATAGATAGGCAACTCAATGTATAAATTTCGTTCATTAGGCCCCTTGCGGCTGGGGTCAATACTAATCATCTTTTGGCGGCAAATTCGAATGAACACCAAAGACCATCTACATGAACACCCCTCACATACATACCCTTTAGCGCCCCTTGTGGGCTATTTCGTTACTAATTAAAATTTATTGGAAAATAAGGATATAAGATGCACAATTTTTTCTAGATATACGTATATTTAGTTATTGTTTAAGATAAAACAGTTATAAAATAATTACATAATATTTATTACACATATTTGCAGAAGTTAAATACTATTATTTTTTGCTTCCTGACAACTTACTATCATCATTTTTGTAATTTTTCCATGATTTGTACACAACGAGCAATGCAATAATTCACCATGTTACTAGCACTACACAAAAATTCTTTGCTACAATAGGTAACTCAAAATAAACTTTAAAAATTAAGTAACCAATTTTAAATTAAAATTACTAAGAATAAATGCAAACGAAAGTTAAAGATAATAAAATAAAATTGAAAACTTGTAAACAAACGGAAAATCTGTCATTACTTTGGATTGACAGAATTGACATTGCGTCGTTTGATTATTTTATTTGGTTTATGATTGGTTAAAGTCTTCGTGAGAGAGATGGACTGTCATTTCTCTTTATTAACTCGCTGGGGTCAAAGCAGGTCAAAGTGATGGGGGAATGAACCAAGTCATTCATATAAGATTCCAGGCCATGTATTAAATAAAATGATTTTAAGCCATTATATCTATTCTATACGCGATAAAACTATGTGGTAATTCACGGATGTTTGCTAAAATGCCATGAATAATATCATTTATTATTTTACATTTCAAAATCATTCTCATTCAATCCTTTTTACTGTCACTTCGCATGCGTCAAAATTTAATTTATCATGGCACTAATTAAAATTTTTCAAACATATTAAAATATTAAATATCATTGTAATCCAATCATAAAAATATTTTATTGAATGATAAAAGCAATGTAAGTACTTTCTTTATTTAAACTTTAATCTATCTATATATCCAAAATACCTTTCATTTTCCATCAATTTGATTAAAGGAGGATAATTACTCATCAAATATAGGTATCCTTGAAACTTCATTATGATTTTATGATTTGAAAACAATTCTCACGAGTACCTTCTACAGTGTATTTGGTTCATTATTGTTTTAGTTTTTGAAAGAAGTGGTTGCAAGAATCATTGGGTAAGCAAGTTTCTTTTAATAATTAAGTAGGTATGTTGCAAAGTATTAACAAGTTTTTTACATTGTCTAGAAGAATGACTAGCATACATGCAGGAAATATTCAGGAAATTTACGAAATGCCTCTTTCTGCGATTATAAGACCAATTCCACCTGAATTAGACAACAAGAAAGTAAAATCTTTGATGGATGCTCTTTCAGATCCAGAGCAAGTTTACAAAGTACCTCCTATTGATGTTTTGTGGATTACTGGACGTGAAGGGGGTAATTACTATTATAGTTTTGGTGGTTGTCATAGATATGCAGCGCATAAAAGACTTAATATGGATATGATAAGAGTTAAGCTTATAAAATCAAATATTGATAATTTAAGGTATTATTTAGGGTCTAGTACACCTGATCTAAAGTAAAATCTATTGTGATACTTATTAATCTATTGTGGGAGCACTCACTATTGTTTTTTGTATATTGTTATAGTTTATCTATATTTTTAATGAATAAATGTTAAACTAAGTTCTCTTTTTTTTACATATTTCAGCTTCTTCCTTATATTATATACATTATGTATACTACAGTTACTAGGTAACAAAGGATTACATTATCATCCATTCTATCTACGTCATTGTTTGGAATTCAGGAAAATTTGGTGTACCTACCTCAATTTATATCCCACTACACTACAAAGGAACTACTACCAGATGTGAAAACTACCGCACACTGTCACTAATAACACATGCTAGTAGAATCTTAAAAAATACCCCAACAGTGGCTAAGATCAACTTTTATAACAATCCCTAAAAACCCAATGCCAAAAAATGTGAAGATTATCGAATAATAAGCCCTATGAGCCATCTCCTGAAAATTTTTTTAAAAATTATACATAAAAGTATATATAAAAAGTGTGAAGAACACATGGCAAACACACAATTCGTCTTCAGGGATGCATTGGGTACTCGAGAGGCACTTTTTTCAGTACAAGCTTTCTTTCAAAGATGTAGAGAAGTGAATTGTGATATATATGTGTGTTTTGTTGATTACCAGAAAGCGTTCGATAGAATAAAACATGATGAACTGATAAACATATTAAATTCAATTGGTCTAGACAGCAGATCGTCATATAATAAACAATATCTATTAAGAACAAACTGCAGCTGTTAGAGTTGGGGATCAGTTAACAGATGATATGAAGATAAAAAGAGGTGTACGACAGGGATGTACCTATATTGTCCCCATTATTGTTCAATACATATTCCATTATGAATATGTATTACACATTATGAGCACATTATGAACCTAGCGCTAACAGACATAGACGAGTGAATACTTATAAACAGAGAATGATAAAACAACATAAGATATGCTGATGATACTGTCATTTTTGCAGACAGACTTGAAGGTCTGCGGACACTTGTCTCCAGAGTGGCAGAAGTAAGTAGCAGGTTTGGACTTGATTTTAACATAAAAAAAACTAAATACATGGTTATAAGCAAAAATAGGATACCACTTGGTCAATTACTAGTTAACCAACAACCTATAACACAAATCACCAACTTTTGTTATCTGGGTGCAAACTTAAATAAACAGTGGGACCAATTGACGGATATTAAGATAAGGATCGAGAAGGCAAGATCAGCTTTCATCAAAATGAAAAAAATCTTTAACAGCCACGACATAAAATTGGAAATAAAAGTTCGTTTACTAAAATGCTATGTATTTTCCGTTCTTTTATATGGCGTGGAGTCATGGACCTTAACTGAAGCATCACTGAAGAGAATTGAAGCATTTGAGATGTGGAGCTATAGACGCATGTTGAGGATTTCCTGGATAGACAGAGTTACCAACGAAGAAGTATTACATAGAATGGGTAAAGAGTGCGAACTAGTCGCAAACTAGAATACCTGGGCCATATAATACGCAATGAACAACGATACGACCTACTTCAGACCATACTTCAAGGTAAAGTGCATGGGAAAAGAGGTCCAGGACGGAGAAGAATATCATGGCTGGATATCCTGCGAAAATTGTTTAACTTAACCACTACCTAACCTAACCATGGACGCTAACTGATGAGAGAGAAATCTGCTCTATCGATTTTTGAAAGTAAGGTGCTACGCAAGATATTCGGAGCGGTCTGTCAGAACGGAATATGTAGGCGTAGATATAACTTTGAACTGCAGAATATCTACAAGCATACGTTTGGTGGTAAATATATTCCCACTAGAATTGTATATACATTCATCGTATTTACAATTCAAACAATCGAATTCATGAATAATAAACATTTATGAAGTAAATACCTACAAGTAAAATTTGAATATGACCTGATCTTTTTTAAGTTAATGGCACAGTGATATTACATTATCATATCTAGTATAACTATAAATAGTTTGAAACTAAAAGAAGACAAAAAAATAGTTAATTATAAAATAATAAGTTCCAGTTTCGATCCCTATCTTGGTATGCGTTTAACTAAAAAGATAATCGAAATTCTATTAACAACAGAGGTCGGCGTACAAGAACTACGTGCTATTTTATACTTGTACTGACACCAAACGGCAAAAGTTAAAATTGAACCCACAACGTCTAAAGATACGGATCAGACAAGGAATGAAACAGGGTCCTGTCTTTGAACCTGTTTAATCGCTACTCGGAGTCTCTATTTTCATGCCCCTAAACATAGGGTCGCATACGGCTCTAATATAATAAGCTGCATTCAAGAGTTAGAAGATATGCAGACGATACGGTTTTGATTGCTGATAATGCGAAGGATCTGCAAATATTAATAGACTGTGTAGTGGAAGCCTGTGACAGATACGGCAAGAAATTAAACTGTAAGAAGACCAAAATTCGTGTAGTAAGTAAAAACGACGTAATACAGCACCAATTCACAGCTAATAATGAACCCTTGAAAATAGTCGACAAAATTACACATCTTGGATGTAGCCTAAATAAGAAATGGGACCTATCACAGGAAATAAGATGTATAGAAAAGGCGAGAGCTGTCTTCAATCGCCTCAGGAAGATTTTCATGTGACAGGATTCTGTCTTCTACGTCAAATCCATACAAATGGTCGGGTTCCTACACTCGTACTATAATCAATTTTTTTTTTTAAGAACTTTTTAAGTTTTTATCTTTTAAAAGAAAATTTTGTAATTTTACATCAATAGATTTCCATACTTTATAAACACAGCCTGAAGACGGCTTTGTAAGCCAAAAACTCTCAGCTACTTCATTTCTTTCAGTCTTTGTGACAGGTGTAAAAAATAGGTGACCTCATTGTTTTGATTGACATAATTGTAAGTTAAAAAAGCTTTTTCATATTCTTGATGGCATATATCGATCGACAAAATTCGTTTAATGAATTAATTAATTAAGATGTGTGTTGTAGATAAAACATGACAGTAACTACTTTTGGCACGATATAGATACATATACGTGATGTACTTATTGATACTAGATTACTTGAATTTACATTACATTCCAGGAAACATGAATTATTAATCGCTAAAAGGACTTTTTCTCAACAAATGAGTATAGTATAGTATACATTTCCCTATTCAGGGAATTATTCAAACGAATGCCTAACAAGCCTAAAGCACGAGCTTTTCAAGCAATTTTTATTTAACTATCATGTGATAAAAGTTTTACTTCCATAAATAACCTTGTAAATAACCTTGCACGGTTGATGAATGCCTTAAAATAACTGTGACCAAAATGATAATAAAATACATAGCCGCTGGAATTTCAAAACCTCGCATTTTTTTACCACTTTTTGTAAATTTTACATTGTTGTTTATTTCCAGTGCTCAAAGTCGTGTAAAGATATCAGTCCTCTAAAATATCTGAAGTATATAATTTTATTTTGCATATTTTGATTTTCTTTATCAATATTTACATCTTTTTATATTTTTTATTGTTTTTCTGTGTATATTTCCTTTTGCCTTCATTTAAAATTTCTTTCAAGATGTTAGGAATATCTGATAATAACCTATTAAATCATAATTTTAGCAATGAAATTATTTGTGGCTCTCTAATAAATGTGTATAATAAATTAAATTTTTTTTTTGAAAATTTAAAATCTTGTTCGTAGATCGATTAGAGTGTGGCGGTTTAGCCTACTGTTTGCTTGGGGCCTCATAAGGTTCCTCGCCAGCCTGTTGGGGTGATTTTGCAGTCGATTTCATTGGGCATGTACCACATTGTATTTGTGATAATGCGGAAGGTCTTCGATTGAAATCGCTCCAGGATGTCGCTGTTGAATCTCGACGCAGATCCCCCACAGTTGGATTCCTTAGCTTCATTTTGGCTTTATCACTGAATTGTATACTAGAGTTTTCATCAAAGATTTAGTTGTAACCTTTTTCTTATTAGCCAGTACATTTTCCTGAGTTCAGACCCAACTGTTTTCTTTTAGTAAATATGTGTTTATTCCAAGTAAAGCTGCCGTGCAAGTGCATACCTAGGTATTTTACATCATCCTTTTTGTTGTAGTACTGGTTATTTATTGAGGCGGTTGAGCATATACGTCTTCGATTATTGAAAGCTATATGTACTGACTTGCTTTCGTTTACTTTAATTCGCCATGTATTATGATGCTTTCACTTGTAGGAAAAATTGCTGTGTAGAGTAGGTAGAGAACAGGCCCAAGAACACTACCCTGAGATACTCCAGTTTTAATTGTATATAAGTTAGTGCACTGATCCTTTACTTTTACAAGGAAATGGCGGTCCGAAAGATAAGACTTAAGGATTAGAAAGTAGTTGGGAGGAAGGACTTGTCTTATAAAGCAGGCCAGTATACCAGACTTTATCAAAATCCTGCGAGACATCAAAAAGGTACTTCGTCGTAGAACGCAGAACGGTATTTCGTCTCATCCAAGGCTTTGTCTATCGAATTGCAGATTCGATGAATTTGCTCAGTGGTAGCATATTGCCAAAAATTCACTGCCCAAGAGAAGAACAAGAACAACGTACAAAGGAAAGCTTCTACCAACAGCTGGAGATAGTATGTGACAATGCGCCCAAAAATAACATCAAGATTATGAATGCTAAAATAGGCAAGAGCCTGCAGTTCTATGGCACAACAGGAAAACACCCACTGCACAATGAAACAAGCGAGAATGGGGAGTTTTGATAAATTTTGCCACCAAGTAAAACATGGTTATAGGTTCCACATGCTTCCCACATAACGACATATACAAAATGACATGGATTTCACCGGATGGAACCACAACTGACAAAGTGGCAGCCAGTAGTATCTCAGATGTGAGAACACGACGAGGATAATGCTGTGGCTCTTACTCCAAACCAAATTTATATGCAGAGTTAACAAAGGCTAGGTCTGGAAATTAACAAAAAAAAAAAAAACAAAAATAATGATACAGACGAGAAGAAATATAGTTCCACAAATCATTATACATGAAGATAATATTGAAACGGTTGGAAAATTTACATACCTGGGAGTAGAAATATATTCCGACGGATCAGAAGATGGAGAAATACGAAAGAGAATAACGCAGGCAAACAGACCTTATTTTGCCCTCTCCGATATATTTCGGTCTAAAAATGTCCATCGAAATACATCCAAAAGCAAACTCGACACATTCGAAAGGAAAGTACTGAGACCTGCGAGGGAAAACGAAATCTTCAGAAGTCGATAAAACAACGAGCTTTATCAACTTTATAAGGAAGCACCACTGTTAGACTTCATTAGAATACTAAGATTGCAATGGGCCGGACATGTGATGCAGAAAATCAGCCACAGACAAGCAAGAGTGGAGGCAAAAATCTAGGAGGCCTAGGCTCAATTTGGGCTGTAGTACTGTAGAAGAAGAAGCATGTCTAAATCCAAACTGATGGTTTGGTATTAGCTGCTGTTCTACGAGGATTGGTTGTAATCTGTCTAGTAGTAGTTTTTCCAAATGCTTTGACATTACTGAAAGTAGACTGATAGGTCTATAGGACTTAACTTCTTCTACAGGCTTGCCTGGTTTGGGTATTAAGTTGATTTGGGTATTAAGATGATTTGTGCTACTTTCCACAAAAGGGGATCGTGATCAGTTCTTAATATTGCGATAAAAATCTGTGTTAAATATTGCACTCCATTCTTGGGAAAATCTTTTAGAATTCTTGCAGTGATTAAGTCGAACCCTGGGGACTTTTTTGGATTCAGATCTGTTTGGATTTTGTTGAAAACTTGTTTGGCAGTGAATTTCTCCAATGGTTCTTCTAGTTGGTATAGATATTCTTAATACAATTGAATATTATCTTCTGCATCAGGGTTGTTGTTTTAAACATGTGATTGGAACACTTCCTCCAGATATTTGGCAGTCTGTGACTTTTTCTTTCTTACTTTTAGCCCATCGTCCGTTACTGGTCCGGATGGGCAGAATAGAAAGTTGCGGTCGGTTAATCTTTCAAATAATACGCACCTAATGGAACATCCACACATGGAATGAGATTTGGCTACATAGAATGTTAAAAATATGCTCAAATTTGGTAAAACGATGGAAGGTGCAAATGAAATTCAAAAATACAAAATAAATGTAAGCGCATTGCAAGAAGTAGGTGGAATGGAAATGAAAAGGTATCATTGTTTTGTAGTAGATCAGAAAATAGAACAGGACTAAAAGAAACCATATTCATTATTTACAGAAGAATAAGAAACAATTTCTTAGGTTTTGAACCTTTAGCATCATTTATAATGATATATTGTGCAAATTCAGCTCTCATAGGTGCCCCTAAAATTTCGTTTAAAAGTTTTCACAACTTCTGTGAGACTATTAAATAGTCGTTAGAATTGCTCAACTGGTTAGCTTCATTCACTAGAGTCGAATCAGAACTTTATCGTTCTTGCCTAATACTCTTTACCATCCACTTGATATAATATAAAATTTAATTGTGAATATGGGAAAGATAGGAACGTAAATAATATTTGGTCCTGTTTGCATCCCAATATGATTTTGTACATTTAAGGATTCAATAAAACTACCTTTGATTTGTATCTTCCTTTATTGTTCATAAAAAACGGTGCACGTAAAAACAATTTCTCACGTAACACGGTAAAATAAACATACCTGTTAAAAATATAAAAATAATCAATTATAATCCGAAATATACAAAAAAATACTTATTATATTTTCTTACAGGTATACATCTACCACTTTTAAGTCTAATTTAGACATACTACAGAGTTAAAAATACCCGCTGTCAGTTAAATCACACATTTAAATGCTTAGATTATAATAATATATTGGTATTATGCTAGAATTAAAATGAATTAGTACTCAAAAGTAAATGGTTTTATAGTTTGAGAGATATACTTTGCATTTTGAGAGATATACAATATTTGCCCGAGCGACCGAAACCATAAAATAGTTTATCAGGAAAAATCACGGTTCATCCATCGAGTGTTTTGGATTTGGATGGGTAGGTAGATATATATTATTTTTAAACCAGCGAAAGCAGATTTAAACTCACTGCAAGTGAGTTTGGTTTTGACTTCGTCAGTGCTCTTTCTAAACTTCTTTTACCATTTTACTAAGATACTTTTAAAATGTGGCGACCGTGGTGTGATAATAATTCTGCAGCTGAAGAGCCAGGGGAACCCTCTAATCAACTGGTAGATATATAAAACTGTGTAGTAAAACGTAAGTGACATTTTCAATCTCTGAGGATGCCAAACGTATGATGAAACATGTTTATGAAGGACTGTGTTCTGAATTATCTAAATCAAAAATAATTGTAGAAACATGTTTTTTAAACAGAGTGCATAAAAGGACCTGCTACAAGATTATAGGAGAAACATCTTCTTCTAGACAGAGAAGAAAGGATTGTGGCAAATTCAGCCAAATAGAACACACACACAGTGTTGATAACACAGATAGTTTTTATTTGAACTTTATAGAAAATGAAACTTTTTGGTAAAATAAAATATTTAATGATACCCACATAATTTGAGTACATGCGACGGTCCCATTTACACTTGAAAGCAAATGTTTGCAAAATAATAACTTTTATTTAATTTAAAATTAGATATCTACGCTACTGTTCGGTAGACTACTGGTCACTATAACATTGTTGCCAATTTGCTACTATCTTACTCGCTCTTGTTCCCGTAAATTTTTCAACGAAATTACGTGCCTACTATACCTTATATTTTAATTTTTTGACAATACAATTTCATACATTTTTCATTGTCCTGATAATATCGCAACACTGTACAAAAATGACAACGTCAAATTAGATGAAAAGCAACGGCCAATAGGAAATGTCCAATATATAAAAGTCAAACCAAATCAGTCTCTAGACTAGATCATTCAGTTTTTTGTGAAGACATTTTGGTATAGCCCGTTAGACAAAAAATATTCTCGTATAAATTAATGAGTGTTATAAAAATCTTTCGGAATAGCAGGATGAAAGAAAATTAGCTGCTAATAAGTTGCTACTGAAAGCGGAGTATAAATGTCTAAACCACCAAAAACGTATTTAAAATGCAGATAATGGAAATTATGTTACTCTTGAGTATTTCAATTATAATAATTGATATCATAATACCATTTAAAATGTACCTAACTTACCAATCGATAAAATTCGTGATAAATTCTCACTTCTTGTGCATTAAAAGAATTATTAACAAACATTCTATCATAAGCAAATATATTGCTTATTATCTACATATCTACATCCCAATATACATAATAAAACCATAAATCAATTTTAGTATACTAATAGATTTGTACTTTTTATTAAATTAAGTAGAATAATAAAGAAAATTAAATATAATTAGAACTTAAAAAGCGTTATAAACTAAACAAATAGACTATAAACAAGATTTTAATAAATTGTGCGGTCACTCATTACTTTAAATGCATCACCAGGTATCTATATATTTTTTGGTTGTATATTATGAATCAAAATATAATATCCCCGAAATATTAAGTTTAATGTTCCATTCTGATACTGCCAAGTACGTGATCGTTTCTTTCCTATAAAAAAATAATAAAAACTCCTGACTGTTAGTCGTGCCAGTTAATAATATAAATAACATAACTTAAGTATAACTTGTTTTTACTACACGTGTGTTTGAAAGCATCATAATTTAATTTTTATTTGGTTTTAAATTAATGTTGCTTAGCTACTTGTCATACTTTGCAAAAAAATCTTCTGCTTTAAGTGTCTTGTCCTGCAGAACATTGGCAACCAGTTGCATGATCATTACTTTGTCCACAGCGGTCCTGAATAGTGTCCTAGTGGCCCTACCTCCATATCACTGGAGAAGGTTCTTGAGCCAGGATGTCCTTCGTCATCCAGGATCATGTTTCTCTTCTATTTTTCCTTGAATCATTACATGTAGTAATTCCTATTTAGCATTTCCCATCACGTGGGCAAAGTACTTCAATTTTCTCCTTTTTATGGTATTCAGATCGTCAAAATTCAGCGGTACACCCACATATCGGAAGCCACAATTATTGTACACATCATGTCAACGATAGTCCATTCTCCCATTGCATATAGCAGATTATAATATCAATTAGATTGTTGGCTATATTTTTGTTTTTGCTGATGAATGTGTTGTCAGCATATCTTAAGTTATTGATGACTAGTCCGTTGGCAGTTATAGCTTCTTTTCTGTCTTCCACAACTTCTTCGAAAATCTTCTCTGTATATAAATTAAACAAAAGCAGAGAGAACACATATCTCTGTCGAACTCCTCTCTTAATAGGAACTTATTCGGATGTCAGACTTTTAATTCTAATGTCAGCTATGTCATTCAAAATAGCAATTAACTTGCTTAAATGCTTTTATATACACCAACATATATCTTGCTATCTGTGTATGCAAACCTGGATGACCAATAACGACTCCCTTGTATCGAAACACTCGAACCAAACTGAGATTCGCCAATGTTTTCTTCACATCTGGCATATATTCTGGAGTGAATCATTTTTAGAAGCAAAAAATATAACTCTTGCATATATGTTACATTGTCGGTTTCTTATAACTTTTCGCATTAAACCGACTGATGGATGAAAAAAAAAAACAAAAGCTCATTGCTCAATGATTGGAGTATTTAGTTAATTATTTGTCGGAAATAAGAATCAATGATGGTCTAACTGGAAATCAGGATGACCAAGATGGTGATGTTGATTATTTTTATCAGATCACACCCCGTAAGATGCATTAAAGATACATTAAAGTCCACATTGACCTGCGTTCAAAATTCATTAACTCCAAAAGGTATAAAATTATGATACTCGATGATCTTTGTATATGCAACATTCCTAAACTAGTCTGTAGTATCATACATAATTTTTTGTACAGGTCATTTTTCTTTTGCAGAAGTATTAGATGAATCTAATAACTTTATTGCCCATTTGACTTTTTCCTAATCTATAACTTCTGCTAGACGCCAGTTTCCCTCAGAAACATAAGTTATGGTTTTCAGCATAGTATGCTGCATCGTGTTTAGTGGTATCAGTTTAGTTTCATACCCAGAAAAGTGCAGCCTAAAAAGTTCTTTCAGGATCTCATCACCATTCCTAGTGTATTCAACTGAATCCTTCAAAAGCCGCTTGATAAAATTTAATCTCTTCAAATTGTTCGGCAACCATGTCTGGGTCAAGTGTATGGCTTATTATACGTTTAATCGCAGCACACAGTATACCAGGTTGACTTGTTATGTTTCCCAGTCGGTTTTACGAGGGTTACGAAAAATCTTTATTGCCTGTCATTTCAAAGCAGATTTTTCGATGGTTTGAACAAGAATCTGAACAACCTCATCCAACACATGCATCTAAAAATGATGCGAGCAGTTCACCGTGCTTTGAAGGGCACGTAAAGCCGTCGGTTCCCCAGGGCTAGCGTGCATCGACACTAGCTACTTGAAACAGGCTTAACGATCCAATTGGCGCCGGAACAATCCGAAAGGATCTCCCCGGCAAAAAAATCCATACGATATTATTATTATTATTACCACAATTGAAACGAGTGACTCATGTTTTAATGATTTTTTTATAGGCTAGTAAAGATGGACGTTTACCCTTTAGTCAGGCCCCCCCACTCTTACTACCTTTGGCCATTCTTTTTATGATTTCTTGGTTCTCTTCGTTCCTATTTGTTAGTGTCACTCCCAAGTAAATGAATTGGCTAACAACTTCAAAGTTATATTCTTTACTTGGGCTTTGTATCTTAAAGGACTGTCCTAGATGATTTTCGTTTCCCCTCATCACCATATATTTTGTTTTTTCCTCGTTTATTTCTAAACCATATTCCCTGCTATTCTCTCTATTCTAGTAAAGAGTTCTCTTAATTCTGCAGGTCTCCTTGTTATTAAGGTAACATCATCTGCGTATGCTACGCATTGATGCCTGTGATGATATATTGTGCCTCTAGTGTAGATGTTACATTCTCGTAAAATCTTCTCTAAGCTCAAATTGAAAAAATCTGTTGATAACAACAGATTTTTGTCACCTTGTCGCAGACCTCTATTGGTGATAAAGCTATCCGAAACCCGTACTTTTTACATGGCTTTACTTTTAGTATCATTGAGTATGCACTACAATTGTGGTACTGTGGTATATTATCAATTATCCCTTTTCGTTCTGTTGTTATGAAAGTTGGTATGTTTCCTATATTTAATATATCTAAATTATTTCATAATAAGCTGTAGTAACGACTCAGCTATTTCATTTATGTTTGTGCTGCCCCAGTTTAAGGTATTCGTGCTACAGTTCATGATCAGTTGCAGTTAATTTATTCTGCAATCTCTCAATAGCTGTCCCATCTCGCTTGTTGGAGGTTGTCCGTTGTATCATATGGAAGGTATACTGATTCGAGCATTATCTCCTTTATACTCTCCCCTCTCTGATTTTTATCTTTACCGTATTTAGTCAGTTTTTTCTGCCGCTTTGGTCCCAAATGGTTTTTTTCTGTGGGATTATTCAACAAAATTTATTATCATCTTCATTGAACAGCTCAATATTCAGAATAATTCTGACTGAAGATTACCGAAGTTTTGAGATCGATAACTTCATGCTGAAGACATCATTTAATATTTTTTGTGAGGTTAAAAGTATAAATTGGTAAATCCGGCACCTGTAATGGGTGCAACAATATGCGAAGGTTGAAAGATGCGACATTTTAAAACCATTATTAACTGAAGATAACCCCTAATGTAATATTTTTTGAAAAAATAAGTATTTTCATTTTAAGTCAGAAAACTTCTGTTTTGGAATGGAATATTGGAATTATTTTTAAATTTCGTAATGCTTGTTTTAGTCAGATCAAAGGTAATACTTGCAAAATATTTGGCAAATTAAAGCGATGTAATATTTTATGTTACTTGTTTAAATACCAACATAAAAATTCCGCATATCTTACTAGCACAATTCACATTGAACTCAGTAAACAGCGCGGCAGTGACCTTTCTGGTGCAACAAGTAGGAGTGCAACTATTGTAGTATTGCTGTATCATTTAGACATTAATTTAATATAATATTCATTTCTTGAAGTTCTAAACTTGTATATATTTTGAGGTTGATGCATTTAAATGAAGAGTCGGTGACATCATATATTTAAACTATTAAATATGCAGATAATTTTTAAAGAATTATTGATTCAACGTATATTAAAAATCAAATACTGACGTAATAATGGTCTAACGTACATTAAATTAATTATATTGATCAGGAAACCATCTCATTTCACAAGAATATTAACAATATTTCTCCATAAATATGTGACAGACATACAGGGCATATAATTGCAACAATCTTGTATTGTATATTACCAAACTCTCTGCACATTATCGCCTACAATATGTAACTTAAATAAACATACTTAAGACATACTGTCACAGTTAGTCGGATAAATACTAAAGATTTTTGTACGGAGATGGATAAATAATCAAATTACAAAATTCTCAAAAAATAGCTACCACATATAATTATTAAGAGAAAGAAGACAACAACAATTATAACCAAATTTTAAAAATAAAAAAAAGTCTTCTTAGGTTGTCAAACGTATATAAACATGTATTTAAATAAATAAAAATTGAAATAAAATGGCGAATTGGTAATGAATCGATCTATGACGTCCCAAATGTCCTGCATTGGTTGTAGATCGGATAAATTGTTGCTTTCAACATTCTTATTAAATCTTTCCGAATTAAAAACCTATAGATAATGTGAGATCAAATTATATAAAAACTGAGGTAAAAATAATTGCCAAAATTTTTCCAAATCAATTAGTCTTTTGGTTATTATCTTACAACAGCAAAAATTTTAAATAAAATAATCTTAACTCAGTTTTTTTCTAAATTGCTTTTTAGTTCTAAACTTTATACTCCAACATTACACACTTAGGTATATATGTGGAGTATACGATTTTAATTTAATGTGAAAATTCCCTCCTGCGGTTTCATGAAATATGGTTTGTAAGGTTTGTCGTAATATTCTTGGTTCGTCGTGTTGGCGTCACTCACGGATGCTTTAGTATCGTCAGGTTCCGTTTGGGTAGTATTGCTATGCATTTTGAACCGTTGGGGAATCACCCCGTGTTTTACGTGAATCCACCTGGTGTCTAGAACCTCACAGTCAATCTGCATGAGCGGGATTAACGACGATTGGGATCTTGTTTCTGAAATTTGATTACATAAGTAAATATTTTGTTCTATAAAATTTGTAATATTGTAATTAAAAGTACAATATGAAATTAAAATATGATTTTTCCTTAGCTATTTAGTATTCATAATGATTAATTAGTTTTAAAAAAATGTAATATATCGCTGTAACACAAAATACGCTAAGAATGTTACAAAGATATCAATATTAAGTAAAATAACCATAAATATGAACTCAAAATCCATTAACTACTATACTGACTGAGATATACTGGAGTATGTGGATCTGGAACCAAATATTGAGAACCATGGATTAAGTTTAGGCTAGATAAGCAATAGATTTTACAGATTGTTAATTACTCGCATGCTGTATACTGGAATGGTATCGGAATCATAAAAAAAGCGTTACAAATGTGGTGATCACTCAGATCCTCAGCTATTTCTATGGTAAGGAAACCCAATCAACATTACTAATAAATAAGTCTATGCTTCAATAACTGATAAACCTGATATTGAGATTGAACGGTTCTATAGTCTTAATGCAGCTCACGAAAAAAATTAAATAACGATAATAATGATAGATCACATTGCAAAAGTGAGAAAAGGCAAAGTTAAAAACATCATTGGTGAAAATGAATTGCAACTACGGAATGAAAGGGACGACAGACTACTCCAGTTCTCTGAAGAACACAACATGATTGTTATGAATACATGGTTCAAACTACCCGTTCGCAGATTATATACGTGGAGAACCCCGGTGCACATTTACCCACTGACATCTTCATATGCCACCGATACTTTACACTTCCACAAATCAAATCAATTAGTATCTTAGATAACTTCGGAAACCTGGTTCTGGAACAATGTCCGCATGGATAGGTATGAAATATACATAGAAGTAATAAAACTGCTAATAGACGAGAATATGGATCTAATGGTAGAAGTATTAAAACAAAATCTATGAGACGGGCGAAATATCGCAGAACTGGCTATAGTCTACCTTTATACCTATTCCGAAGAAACCAGTGAAAAGTTCCGCATAATCACCCTATTAAGTCAGCTCTTAAAGCAGTTTGACTGTATTGCTTCAAAAATGTAGGGACCAGCGAAAAGGCGTTTTCCCATACTTCATTTATTACCCCCCCAGAGGGAAATTCTAGGTGCGCTACTGATATTTATGCGAAATTCAATGTCTTTTGACATTGAATTTCAGTGAAAAACTTTTTAAGAAAAGAAAAAGAAAAGTTTTTTGAAAAAATGTATACTTACTATTTGGTAACATAGATGGCATTATTAACGACATTTTTGGTCTCCTCGTCTTGTTGTGATGTAGCGCAGGTAAAAGCATATGTTGATCCGTGAACGACACTACGTAAAAAGTATCATCTTGTCTGTTAATCGCCTCGAAGAAATCTGAATATAGCTGATCGGGTCTTACAGAAAATACCTGAATTTCATGTTTAGGCGAATCTTCATCTTGACGGTAATGTTTATACCTATAAAAAAATTAATATGTTGGTTATGTAGTCACACGATAGGTATTTAATAAATATTCAGTTTGCAAAGAAAACTCTGATATCTTCTTTCTCTTCCTTTAGACCTAGAACCATCTGGGGCTGTTGCTTGTTCAACAATTGTAGAACATTCCTTGGTATCGTGGTCGATTTTTATACAATTTAAGATTATTGAAAAATTAAAGACAGATATCGACCACAATTTATTCATCAAATCTTGCCCAAGTACTTTCGCTTTCTAAGGGACATTTCGTCAAATTTGGGTTATCCAGCAAGCGCAGAATGTAATAAACATGAAAATAAAACATAAATTGTACATAACACTACACTAAACAAGTACAAACATTTTAAAATTATTTAAAAATTATTCGACGCTACATTCTTGTCGGCAACAGGAGAGAGAATGATTTATTCTTTTATTTTGATTTATTAATCAATCAAACTATTCAGAGCGGCAGCATCTAAGATCAGAATAGCCATGATGATTGTCAACCTCCGCCGCGGAGATGGCACGTAAAGAAGAAGAAGATAGACCCGTATTGTTCTCTCTGCCACTGCGAACTTCAGGTGCATTTTTCTATCTCAAACATTTTCATTAGAGGAACTTGAAAATATGCTTTCCATCTGTTTAGAATAACAAGTTATTTCACTCCCTCCTTACATCGTTGCATTTCCAGTATTTTTTGTATGAATTGCTTATCGCTATAATTTATCTTTGGATCGTGCATATATTTTTTTTTCTTTATATTACCACTATTCTTTTAATGTTGTAATCTTCCCTTTTCTTTTTGTTTCATGCTGTAAGTAAGTTATTCTCATTGGGTTCTTCTGCTTTACCATGACCATCTTTTTTTTCCTTTCTGGATCTGCTTACTTCGTTCTATCGGTCGTTCTGTGGTCCCTGAACATTACTATCATAACGGCAAGAGGATGTCCTAGTGCCAAGGATGAGCCACGTTTCCTAGAGTTTTTGCATGAGCATGCATTTGAGGCTCATTGGGTATCGAGTTCTACAAAACTCTTGAAAACAGCCTTGCACAACATCGCCGATATACTATTAGTGTTCAAAGACCCCCAAAACCTACCGAGTAACGAGTTTGCATTGATTTTGTATCGAATTTCCACAAAACCCCAGGAGACGAGTCCCAGATGCACCAGGTGCCTCGGAGACCATCGCCGTCATGATATTCGTGTACCCCAAAAACCTTCTAGTAGTAATATTGTACTCATTTCTTTCAATTATTTACGAATTACAAATTTAACATTTCTCTTTACTTACTACTTTTAGGAGTGTCTGTGAGTGTATCGATCTTCATACTAAGTACCTAAGATATTAAATTACCAAAACACATGAAAACGTGTAATATAACAAAATATTACCTTTTATAAGAGGTTAAAGAGCTATCTATCCTATATTTCTTCTTCCTCTTAGGGCGTGCTTTCTTTGAATTCCCTGTTGAGTTTATAGGAACTGACGAATTTAAATCTAAAGTAATTTTTGTTGAAAGATCGGCTGGTTTACCTATCCACCTAAAAAACCAAAATTATAAAGAGTATTTTTTTATTTTAAGAGAAAAAATAAATAATATACAGAATAATTTTGAAATATTATATTTATATGATATAAAGCCACAATTGAATGTATTAAAAATTACATTTTACATTTTTTTGACGGATTTCTACTCTAAAAATCGTTTTCAAAAGAAAGAATAAAAATAAATTAAATTTTTATTTGCATGGATTTGTATTGAAGTAGTGAAATAATCTGTCCATTGGTACATTTTTGCCATAATTTGTATTGTGAAAGCTAGTATAGAAAGTATTCGTATTTATAAGTTGCTTGGAAGGTACACACAGATTAATGGCGTGTAAAAGATCAGGACAGCTAAATTGACCTTGAATTAATTTGAATATAAAACATTCATCATACATTAATTTTCGAGATTCTAAATATTAAATCGATATGAGCAGAAACGAAGAAATCTATGCTGAATGTTTTCGATCAACTTTTTATGAATCTCATAAATGGGAAATCACACAACTGAAGAATACTCAAAGGGAGATCTTACCAATACAGAGTATAAACACTTTAACTGATGTACATGATAGCTCTTTTGAATTACCAGTGATAAATCCCAACATCCTAGCTGCTTTCACTAATATTTAAATAATGCGATCAATGAATTGGAGACGATTATCAAAAATTATATCTAAATTTCTAATACAAACTTCAGATTGCTTCTTACCACCAATCTAGTATCCTCAGGATTTTTTTTTCAGTTCCTATCCATCGCCTTTCTCCGCAAAGCACGTATTCCCATATTTCTAATGTCTTATCAATGTTATCAAGGAACATTGTTCTGGGTCTGACTCTATTTCTCTCGCCAATGGGTCTATCAAGGAGAGTTTTTCTAGCTGGGTCATTTTGTTCCATCAGCATTACATGCCCTATCTTGTTGTACCGTCTTCTTCACACTCCATTGTCATTCACTGCTCTGTAGATTCGCCTTCAGACTTTTCTTTCGAAACATCCTTTCGAAACAGGTTTCCATTATTTTTTGTTAGGGTCCAGGTCTCTGAACCATATGTTAGCACTGGGGGTATTATTGTTTTACAGAGTTCTATTTTTTTCTCGATATAATTGTGGATAAAGGAGAAGATCGATCCCAAAATAGCAACTGTTCTCTGCTACTATCTCTGCAGTAGTATTATTTTCAATGTTAAGGAGCGCTCCCAGGTATACAAATTCGTTCACTGCTTCGATGACGTCGTTTTCTATAAGTGGTCGTAGGATTTGTGGTTGCGTGCTTATTTTCACATATTTCGTTTTGTTGGTGTTTATTATTAAACCCATTTTTGAAGCTGATTCCTTTAATACTACATACGCCTCTCGTACAGCGTTTCCGTTCTCTCAACAATATTGATATCATCAGCATAGGCCAGGATTTGCACTGATTTATTAGATTAGGATATATTGAACCAGTGGTTGTGATTTGTGACACACGTATTACTTTTTCCAGAGCCAGATTGAACAGTATACAGGAGAGAGAGTCTCCTTGGCGCAGACCGTTATTTGTTTTTAAAGGTTTAGACAGTTCCCCCGAATTCGTACTCTACAATAAACTTTTTTAATAGTTAGTTTTGTTAAATTTACCAACTGATTTGGTATTCTTAGCTCTTTCATTGCTGTGAACATTCACAGAGTCGTAGGCTGCTTGGTAGTCTATAAATATGTGATGAGTTTCAATGCCATATTCCAGTGTTTTTTTCAAAATTTTTTTCATGGTTGCAATCTAATTAATTGCCGATTTACAACCTCTGAAACCAGCCTGGTATTTTCCTACTATCCGTTCTGCATATGATGCCATACATTGCATTGGCATAGTACTGTGGAAAATATTTTATACGCTGCATTTAGAAGGTGCAAAATATTCCAATATTCCAATCATCGGGGAGAGATTTCTGTGTCCATATTTCTTTTATAAGCTGTTGTAATGCCATTATGGTATCATAGCCACCTTCTTTATAAAGTTCAGCTGGGAGATTATCTATTCCGGGTGATTTGTTTCTGGCAAGTTTTTTAACTGCATCTTTAACTTCAAGAATCGTTGGTGGTTTCTTAATTTTATGAAATGTTATTTTATGACACTTCTTAGTACTTAGCTGTAAATGATTTTCCTAATACCATAACCATAAAGTTTTCAAATCATACTGGATCAAATCAATATATTGTATTAACTCTTAAACATTAATGCATCTGCGTATTGTAATTAATTTGCTAAATCATGAATAAATAAACAAAACAACAGTGAGCCTCCTGTGGAACACCAGAAGTAACCTCAACAACAGAGCAATAGTTTCCAATTTTTACTTTTTGAATACGTCCACTCAAAAAGTCTCTGAAACATTTATTCCTTAAGGGTAAAAAAAAGACTGTCTAGTTTATTTAATAATATAACGTAGTTCACCCTATCAAATGCCTTAGAAAAATTAGTATAGACAGCATCTCCCTGACATCGATCCTAAAGACTTCAACAATTTTGCTTGATATAAAAGTCGATTCGTAAGAGTCGACTTCCCTTACTGAAACCCATTTATAATTATCTGCCTACATTGCCAAGTTAGATGAGAACTCGCCAAACTATCAAAATCTTTAGCAATAGAAGATTGCAAACAAACCCTTATATAGTTTATTATATTCTTTCTCTACCGACTTGAAAATATGTGCATAATACTTTTTACTATACTATATTTTTCATTTATTTATGGTTATTCCTTATATCATCAATCAAATTTTTAGGTACGTCATTTGGGTATTTTTATCTCTGCCACTTTGTTACAAGTTGCGATTTTCGGTTTTTTGATTGTAGACATCCTGTAGATTATAAGTGGATTGCATATGTTTTTAATTTATCACAAAGATAATTGTGGGTATTTAGCCGTGCAAAAACGTAATACACTGTTTTATCGCTTGTTATCACTAGTTGTAATGTGTTAGATAATTCAGTATCTTGAACGGCAACTACATACAGTCTATTCCATGAATATTCGACTGTTTGGAATTCGGTAATAAAGCATTGAATGGTCCAATGTGCTGAATTGTACAATAGTAAATTCTCCCAATTTTTAAAATAAATAAGTGATGAAATAGTGTACATTTATTTAGTAGAATATTCAACCTTCCCAGTAGAATATTCAACCTTCCCTAAAATCCATCGGAGTTAAAGCATGGAGAAGAGTTGCCAGAGACAGGGGCGAAAGGAAGATTGTTCTGAAGAAGGCTTTGGATCATAACGAGCTGTAATGCCACTGATGGTGATGATTCAACCTTCCCGAATCCATCATTCTTCAATTAGTCTTCACATTTTTTTACAATGGAAGGTAGCGCAAGTAATCCTAATCTAAAAACCTGTGAAAACTTCCGACGACACAACTTCTTACCGACCAACAAGTCTATAGTCGTAGTCTGTCATGTCGAAAATTATGAAAAAATTACTAGCTAAGAGACTAATAAAAATTATTGCAGAAAAAGAACTTCTACCGACACACCAATTTGGATTTAGAGTAAAACATTCAACAATTGAACAGATCCATTGACTGGTAGAATTAATTCTGTTTTAAAAATAAGCAATATTGCTCAACTGGATTCATCGATATAGTCAAGCTTTTGACAAGGTATGGCATCAGGGACTACTCTATAAACTAAAAAAGGACCTACACCAGAACATGTGTGACATACTGTACTCGTACCTAAAAGAAAGATATTTCGAGGTAACATATAAAGACGAAGTAACCGGTCTACATCTCATAAAAACAGGCGTTCCTCAAGGTAGCGTTCTTCGGCCAATTTGCCGTGACTATTTACCTCCGATTTGTCTACTGACAATAAAGTACATGTAGCCACATGGGGGCTATGTTTTTTGTAAAATTATAATTAAATTTAAATTTGAGGGATTTGATCTTCAATTTCGGGAATCTCAAAGTGGGTGATTTAGAAACTCGCATCTGACGACTCTTGTTAAGTTCCTCTATTTGAAGTAATTGTCTAAAATCCCCCTCTTCGTAAAGCCGTCTTGTCAAGGAAAATTCGTTCTCGTGGCCGTGATCACGAAAAAGCATATTTTTCATTAGCGAATTATTCAATTACAGAAGAAGCAACAAAAATAATGTTTATCGTTTTAAATAAAACAAAAATATATGTAATCTATACTCAAGGCGACATTTAACAATTTCCGAACATATAATTCCGTATCCGTATGGGATATTGCCGACTAGTATAATTATAAAATATTTAATCGTTACTCAACTGTGCATTAATAATGATGGAAATATAATTAGATATTTTGCAATTTATTTATTATTTACTCTCAATGTTAATGCCATTATTGTTAATATATGGAATTAATGGCAACACAAAAACGTATACACAAATAATATAGTTTATTCGACGTTTCCGTTTCCAGAGCAACAACCGTTTTCAAAATAAGATTTTTGTAAAGAAATATAGTGAAAATAAAACAAACTTATCGTTCCTATGTTTAATCTTCCCTTTCTAAATCTCTAAATCTCTTTAAAGGTAAAGCTTTAAAGTAATTTTAAACTGTTTGTCCTCGTTTTAGTGTAGTGTGTTGTACAATTTTATGTTATTATTAATGTTTCCACATTCTACGCTTGCCGGATAGTTTATATTTTGACGAAATGCCCCTGAAGATGCTATTTTAAGCGAAAGTACTTGGGCTAGATTTAATTAACTTGTGCTCGATAATAGCCTTATTTTTCAAAGTTTTCTAATTGTTTTCTGAAATTCCCTTTCTTTATTCGTAGTATCATCATTGATGTATACTTTTCCTTCTTCAACATGTCTTAGTTTAGATTTATTTTTCATAACCTTTACCTTCTCTTCATGTTCTGCTAATTCAATCAGACAGGTTTTCTCTCCCAGTTTGTGTGCATTTTTAATTTTAACATCTAACTTCAAATTGTGTTTAATGAAGTTGCTCATTCTCTCTTTTAAGACGATTTGATCATATGTTTCAATTGCTAGTCCACTCATGACTACATTGTTTTTTCTTCTTTGTTTTTCCATGGATTCAATAGTTTCCTTGACTTCATTAAACTCCTTTTTGATTTCCATATTTTCTTTCTTCAGATTACGAAATGTAATTAACAAAAAAAAATTATTTGTTTAACAATAGTTAATATAATGATTAAACAGACATGAAAGAGAGAAAAATCAAAGGAACAGCTCTCGTCCTACTTAAAGAAGAAAAATATGTAGCAAACCCATCAGCAAAATGTAGCAGGCTTTGGTTGCCAATACTAAAAGAAGAAGTCAATTACAAGAACATACCAATAATAGCGGATTAAACGAAGTCGCAGACAACAATAAATACGCAAAACACAACACACAAACACATAATCTACGTTAAACAAACAACGTCAGAATTTGATTTTCCAATGGTAAAAAGAAAACCTTCAGATTTTTTGTCAACCAAAAGAAAGCTACAGGATCTTGACCAAATAAGTTAACATTCATTTTTTGAAAAACATAACCCAACTACAAACTGCTTGTTGGTTATAGTTTTCGCACAATTTTTTAAATATTTTTTTGGAAAACGATTTCCGGAGTGGAAATATAATATAATATTGTTAAAATGTAATTGTTATTACAATCAATTGTGGCTTAACCCCATATAAACATAATATTCAATTAATGTAAGTTCTATATTTTATACTGAATTTCCGGAAACAGAGATATTAATTTTTTTCTTTTAATTATATGGTATTGTGTCCAAAAATATTACAAAACTGAGATACTTAACGAAACTTCGAACACATTTCCCAATACAAATTTTAAATAGAAAATAAAATTTTACCTTTCTAATTCTAAAACTAATCTAGCACTTTCTGTCTGGTTTATCGTGGCAGGACACATGAAAAACGGCGAAAATGGAGAAGTTTTATTCTCGTTTGCATCGTTTTCTTCCGCCCATAACAAACCTCTTCCGTGGTGATCTGTTAACCTAGGTATATTAGAACGAACTAACTCAACTTCTGTTTTTGTACTAAAAGGATTCCTGAAAAAATACATATTAATTACCAAAAACTGTTAAGGTGAATAAAATTGGATAAAAATTCTACAAGATTCGATATATTCTCAAATAAACTTAATAAACGTAAAGAAGCGATATATTCTTAAGGGTCCAAGATATTTCATTTATAGCTAAGTGCTTTCGGTTTTAGTACTAAGTTAAAGTGCTGAATGAAAAGGATCTTAAACTTAGAGTTATGACGAAAACGTACTGAGAAGCATTCAACCAGTTAAATTTAAATTCGGTAACTGAGATCACTCAGATTTTATCTAATAAAATCTACAGTACTCTTTCCAATAACGTCACAGAAAATAAATAAAAAAAATATGTTAACCATTTGTCATAGCGTCCTCCTAAGAGAACACAATCTTAATAACCATCATATTGCCGAATACTGGCAATAGTGACAAGTGGACTTTACGAAATAACATGTTCTCTGTAAAAGGACAGCATATTTACTCATTTATGAATGATAGTGCTACCTAGAAACGAACGCAGTACCAATGACACTAACATTTTTTTAGTTTACTTTTTTATTTCCTTCAACATACAACCGATGCGCCACTGGCCGTAACTATGTTTTGGTAATAGCGTCTTGTACCCTATTGCTTTATTGAAGGCGTAACAAATTAATGTAGTTAAAATTTATCTGCTTGAATAGAAAAAATCAACCTTTTGCTCGATTAACAGTTAAGATTCGTCACGTCATATGTCTTCAATAAAATTTCTCCTAATAAAAGTATAACGTTATTTTTATCAAATTTCCGAGTAGCAAGTTTCTGTACCTATCTGTCGAAGAAATGAGAGATAGGGAAATTTTATTTTGGGGACAGTTTGTTAAATTTTTGAGGGAACGAAAACACTCCGGTGTGAGTGTGAGTAGATAGAATACAAGGAAGGCAATTACAATGGTATAGTCACGTGATGAGAATGGAGGAGGAGCGGTGGCCAAAGAAAGCCTTAATGTATGTTCCGCCAGAAAGAAGGAAAAGGGGAAGACCACCAAATTCCTGGAGAAGAGAAATTACAAAAGCAATGCAATCTAGAGGCTTAGAAGAGGGAGATTGGAGAGATAGGAAAAGATGGAGGCTGAAATGCGGGAAGCGGCAATCGCCGTAGGACCCCCGTTATATGATGATGATGATGTGAGTGTGAGTAGTCAAAGAGTTAAGTCCTCCGTAAATTTCTTGAAGTGTTATCAGCAATTCTATCTTAGAAAGTACATTAATCTAAGCTATATTAGATAAAATATATCTATATCTATGACTACCATTAATTGTTGGTAATTTAATTTGCTCCACGCTAATACAGTGGTATTTAAAGTGTGCTGATCTATAAGACAGCTGTAAGTAATTATTTATTATCATATTCACATAAAAGCGGAGAGATTGCTAAATCTTTGATGATGCACGAGCTATCTTTTTCACCTGTCTTCATAAGTAATTAATGCTGCTACCGGATTTCTTTCAGAGTCATCTCTAGTTAGAGACCAATTTTCAGCCAATAACAACATTTAACATTTACGAACATTTTTAACATTTAGTGAGAACATTTATTTCATTAAAAACAGTGCGGAACTTAATTTAAAAAACAAAGTGCGGTTCGTTTGTTTGCGTAATAAAGATTTTGATTTTTTTGTAATTCTTTAAATTTTTACTAGTATTATTTCATTTGCATTATTGAATTTAGAGTTTCCTTTATCTCGAGATATGTCCAGACAGTAAAGAGTCTACATTTTTTTTCCTTTAAGGAATTTTTAATTAATAGCATCTCTCTTTACTGATCGATTTACGTTTACATGTATTTTTTATATATTGTGTATGTTGAAGCTAACAGCTTACCGTTTATTATTTTTTTGTTTTGATTCAACTATTTGTTGATTTGTTGTTCAATATAATGTTTTTGTTCAATTAACGCATTTTATTTCTATACTACCAACACGTTCCCTGATTCTACTTCTTAATGTGCCCTCTCCATTACTGAAGGTTGGCTATAACTACAGCAAATTGCTCTCGATCTTGAGTTGTTCTTATGTGTGTCCATGACTGTCCAGTCTCTTACATGTTTCAGCCGGGAGCATTTTCTTCTTCCTTCCACTTTCCCTTCCCTTATCAATTTTAGGAAGTTGTATTTTTCTCCTCTGTAAATATGTCCTAGATAACTCGTTTTTCTGTTTTTTACAATGTTTAGGAATTTTCTCTCAATCCCCGTTCTTCTTAGCACCTCATTGTTGGTCAGGTGCTCTGTCCAAGCGATCTTCAGCATCCTTCGAAAAAACCAAAAACCCACATCTCAAAGGCTTCTACACGTCGTATACTTGTGATTCCGAGAGTCCATCTTTCCACTCCGAATGGCAATATGGAGTAAATGAATGGTTTTATAAATTGGTAGTCAAGATCGTTTGTTATCCAGCAACCAAGATACTGAAAATTTTGTACGGGTTCCATCTGTTTGTTGTAGATACGAATATTAATGTCGGCATTTGGTGGACGTGTAACGGCCATTACTTTTGTTTTATTTGTGTTTATATTCAGCCCCAAGCTATCACCCTCTCTGGTTACGGCATTCAAAAGTCGTTCCCTTATTATATATTAGATTTAAGCATTTGCTTTGCTATATTCAGACCAGAAGGAAAGACCAGGTGATCAAAATCACCTAAGGTTTGTTAGCTTTATCATAGTATTTACAAAAAGTTAAGTGTAGATATGATGTGCTTCAACACAGACGTGTGATTGTTTTGCAGCGATTTTATTTGGTTACTTTTGTGTTTATATAATTCGAATAATTATATGCGCTCAGATAATTATTCGAATAAATTAAAGAAAAAAACAAATTTGGGAAGAGGTTACCCACCGTTTTATTTCGAAAGATGCTTGTTCAATCACAAATTAACCCCTTAATTTGTAATCTGACATTATTCTTAATTTCTTAATCTTTTATAGTTTCACCGTGTATAAGTGAGACATTGTAAACCATATCGTATAATATATTAATAATTAGTTCATTTACCTACAACTAAATAAATTGCCGAATAATATATTTTCTAATTGAACTTCCTAAGTGTCGTAATTACGGCCTAGATTAAATTGTATTGTAAGCAAAGTTTGTTGGTATGATATGATAGAAAGCAATAACCTCTGTGCTGAGGTATGAATTATTTGTGAGATTGTAAATTGGGGATTTGAGCTCATTTGAGCACAGTCTATCATAAGTAGTTATCTATCGAACATCATATTGTAATGTAATTACTAGTATCTGTCAATAAAACCATCACTTTTACTTCACAACTTCAACCTTTTATTGTACTGTCGCCAAATGCAGGTTTCAGAGCTTGTGAGTGGTTAAACAGCAACAATATTGCGACCAATCACAATTTTGGAATGTGCTGCTCGACTTCTGTATTATCTTTGGTCAAAAATACAACAGACTTGTAGCCAATGATAATATCAGGAATCGAGCGTTGGCTATCGTGCTGGTTCATTGGCCAGCGACCAGAAATGACCGTTGGAGATTGACCTAGATATTTTTCTATAAAAGAAACGCACGATGGCCGATACGGCAGACTGGGTCAGGATATGTACGCCAGTCCAGCCTCCTCAGGCATGTAGAGATACTCAGGTAGATTAAGTTCTCTGAGCCTCAAACCCAGACGACACGTTCTCATCTTTAATTTCACCTTTAAACCCGGAACCTCACGTTCCACCAGCTTTAACCTTTGGCGGAGTTCCAGTGTGGACCCTGTCGATTTGCGAGCGCAAATCCAACGGCCATTCTAGAGGATTTATCTCTGCAATTCGACCTAGTCGGACTTGCTAATATTTCCTTAAAAGCGTCGCTATTCTTCGTCGAATAATCTGTGTTCTAAGACCTTGTCTAGATCTGATTACTTCGACGCTTTACAAGTAGTGCAAGAAATTGTTTTCTTCCAGGTATTCTAAGTTCTTTACTTTACAGGACTTAGCCACCGGACGACGTGAGAAATAAAGTAATAACATTGTGTTTTATTTCATTCCTATTTGCAATCTCTTTCAGGTACACTGTTATAATCTGTTAGATCTGTTAGTTTTACAGGTACACTGTTAAAACCTGGTAAGTTAGTTTGCACGTACACTGTTGAAAACTGGTAAGACATTTTAGGTCTGAGATATATGTTGACACTTTGTATGATTTTAATACTTGTTCTCTTTCAGGAATAAACATACTTTATTTTCCCGTAGGAATATCCTCGATATTCGGAAATTAACTTGTATTTTATTTCTTGTATCTATTTCTAATTTACAGGTTTCAGCGACTTCAGCGTTTCAGGAAATTTCCGAAATAAATATTTCGAATTTCCTCTATAATAATTTTTACAGTGTAATACTTATACATTTTATTGTTGATATTGCCGAATGGCACTATACTAGACAGATCACAGCTGGTTTCAGGGTCCTATCACTATTTCTTCCTACCTATCAATTTTGACAGCTGGGTTTCTCTATGTTTATTAATATCAAATTTACATATAAGTTTGTGTATTGTTGTTTAATCTAATACGTTTCTTCATTACAGATTCTTAGGTTAAACTAATCGTATAATTATCCTCCAGACATAAGGTCCGGAGCTAATTATAGTTCCTTTTCAGATTCTTAGATTTAACACCCTAATTGTTACTCTATTTATTTGATTTTTGCAATAAACGAAGCATTTTATTGTTCTTCTTAAGCCAGATTTATTCCACAGCTAAAGGTGTCCATAGCAACGGAAAGAGCGTGTACAGAGCCTGGTCTCACGCCCACAAGGCAAGAGGCTTTTTCCCGTTACCGACAGTACCTATCATCGTCGATCGACAAGAAGCAGACAAAGGGGCATTTACAAACCGATTCGAACCTCAAAACTACGTTCGAACCTTTCCAATGCTTTTCTGGGCCATCTTTAATTTCGTTAACTAACGTGTAAAACGTTCCTTTATTTTTTCATTCATTTACTATAGAATGTATCCAATACCTGCGTTTCTTCTTCTTCTTTGATTTAATATGAAGTAAACTTGCACTTATTAGGAAAAACAAATCGTCGTCACTATCACTAGATGATTCTAGAGACATCATTATACCATTCTACGTCCAAAACTCGACTAAATTTGACAACACCGAATACAATGGCAAAACTACTGCCGCTGTTAAACCGCCTCATGTGGTTTAAGCCGCGCGGCAGCCGTCGAGGCGCAGAGCGTTTAACCTTAATGAAACTACTGAAACTGCAATAAGAATAATTCAATAAAAACGTACTTACCTAACGAAATTTAAGTTTACTCCTATAACTAACAAACATATATACAAATATACACTGGGCTTCACGTTTCTACTTCCTTTACTAAGCGGGTTTACTTCATACTTTATCAATGCTTCTTTTAGCTGAATATTTTCCTGAAATAAATAATATCTTTTAAATATTTAATGGAATATTTGATCTAAATTCATTTTACAGTATTCGCCAAAATAAACAATAGCGAAAGCGGACATTGTATTTATTTTTTAATTTACATGTTCAAAATGTGCCCCAGTGCAGCGAAAACAAGCTGTAAACGATTTTGCAGATTGTCCAACATATTGTGGCGTTGGGCTTCCACTGCTCTGGGCCCAACTGGGGTTGCTCAAAAAGTTTTTTGCTTGCACTTATTTATTGCTTTGAAGTAGGGGCAACTTTTGCGTTATAACGTACACACGTTTTTAACTTATTGATTCTGAAGTCAAGACAAATATTAAAAAACAAGTTTTCTACGAACAATAGAAGTGAAATTAGCTTAATTTGTTTAAAAAAAATCACAGCTGCTGGATTTATAACAAATAAGAATTAAAGTTGGTGCCATTTAATAGTTAAGGGCCTATATTTTATGAGGATATATTTTTTTTTGACAAAAGCGCTACTTATAGTCAAAAACATGCGTAACGTTGACTGTTTTCTCGAGTAGCCGAATAGGCTAAGTTTTGGCAGGTTCCTATGGACAACATAAGCTATTTTATTATATTAAATTACCCATAGGAAAAAATATCTTTAAATTAGGACACTTTCTACATAATCGTTCGTTCTCTCAATATAATCCTGATGTATTAGCATAGTACTATCATCGTTATAGTTTCAAGGTTTTTGTATTATCACTCTTTCCGTTTTTTCTATATACCTATCAACGTGCAACGTTTCGCAAATTACTTTAAAAATACTACTTTTATCTATTATTAATCAGTTATTTCTCAATGCCGCATTCTAATAGGTATACTACTACTTCAAATTATCTGTACGTGTGTAATATAGTTGTAATATATACAAACTGGTATTTATTTCATAGTAACAATTTAGACATTATCAGTTTGAACTGGTTACATTATATTTTTAAATGAATATTAAATATTGGTTTAAAAAATAATCTGAAACTACAATTCTTATATTTCGTGGACCCGTGTGCCCATTACACGTTTATTTTTTGAATCTATCTAACTGTGTTCTCAGCAATTTCATTTTATTTCTTCTCATTACTTATTTCGTAAGTTCAAAGAACAAATAAATAAAATACCTCCAATGATACCTCCGTTAAAATAGGCAAAATGACACGACTCACAGAATTCAATTTTTTTTTCATTTTCTTACTTTCTATGTGATTAAAAAATAAGACTCAGAGCAATTTTATTTCCCATCCCTACCCCCAAAAACGTAAATTTTTCGTTTTTGTCTTTTTTTGTATGGCATGCAATCAATTTAAAAAGTTCAAAAAAATCACACGCATGGAGGTCTATTTTTTTTTTATTCTGTGTGTTTAATCAAAAACTATATCCCTGATATTTTTTTCAGATTTTTCCGAATGATGCGTTATCTTAAAAAATCCAAAAAACTGTTTTTTTTTTGTTTTGGGGGATTTTCTTCATTTATAGACTTCAAAATAGATAAATTCAAGTTTTTTTTATAGTATACATATTTTAAATTAAATGAGGTCTTTCGAACATTCAAAAATAGGGCGAAATTCCTTTAAGCGATTCAGTTTTTCACGGTTTTTAAGGGCTTTGGCGGGGTAATTATATTATTGCAGATCGACAAACCTCAATCAATTTTCTCATATTTTTACTTTTTGTAATTAAAAAATAAGACTCAGCAGCATTTTTCTATTTTTATAGACTCGTAGGTTGAGTGCACATAACCTAAAAACGCTTATTTAAAAAAAAAAGTTTTTTTTCGAGGTGATTGCAAATCCAATTCCTTCACAAATGCGAATAACTTTTTTTAGCGAATTTGATACATTTTGAAGTCTATAAAATTGAGAAAAGCACCCACAACCCCTAAAAAACAATTTTTCGGGAATTTGGAGATGACGCAAGATAAGACGCAATATCAGAGATTTGTTTTTAATCAAATATATAACAAATAAATTAAAAATTTTAAAAATGATTTTTTGAAATTTTTAAATTTATTGCAACCTACCGAAAAAAAAATTACGTTTTTTGGAGTACAGAGAGGGGAGGCGGGCTAAAGATGCGCAGTCTTATTTTTAATTACATAAAACGTAAAAAATAAAAAAAATTGATTTAGGTCGTATCGATCTCAAAAAATGTGATTTAACCGGCAAAAACCCTTAAAACATTAGGAAAAAACAGGTTTTTGGAGGTTTAAAGGTGTTTTGTTCAATTTTTGAATGCCCTAATAGCCTCATTTATTTAAAAATATAAACTTTTAAAAAATCTTGATTTGGTCTATTTTAAAGTATATAAAATGGAGAAAATCTCCCACACCCCCTAAAAAAATAGTACAAAAATTGGACATGCAGCCACTTCCAAAAAAACGTTTATTTTCAAAAAATGCATTTTTAGGTTATGCACACTCAACCTACGGGTGTAAAAAAATAGAAAAGTTTTGTCAAAGCCTCAACTATGCGTGTGGATTTTTTGAAATTTTTAACTTTATTGCAACCTACCGACAACAAATATATATAAAAACGAAAAATGACTTTTTTTTGAGGAAGGGGAGGGGGCGACGGGCTAAAATTGCACTGTCTTATTTTTTTATTACATAAAACGTAAGAAATTAAGAAATTGATTTAAATTGTATCGAATGTATGCAAAGTATGCTTAAGCGCGCAAAATACCCTTAAAACCCTTGGAGGTTTAAAAGTGTTTTGTCCGATTTTTAAATGCTCCAGAGAATGTTGAGAAAATGCCCCAAATACCCTAAAAACAGTAAAAAAATTGACCTGCAGCCTCGTCCAAAAAAAGTTATACGTTTTTTCGAAAAAAAAATGCATTTTTAGGTTATGTACACTCAACCAACGGGTCTATAAAAGTGGACAAGTTTTGCAAAAGCCTCAAATATGCGAGTGAATCATTTGAAATTTTTAAATTGATTTATGATACATATCGCACCCTCTATGGAATTTCGCTAATAAAATATTCCATTAGCCTACACCGATTTTACAAGCTGAGACAAGCATTACATTTAGTGGATATTGCTAGCCGTCTCCAAAATAACACAGACCGAATTTGGAAATTCCGGGACCTCTATGGTTGTTTTAGATGTCAGGAGCTTTCTCTAGAAACTAATCTCTGTGTTGATGAACAAATAGTTTCATTTAAAGGCCAACTGAACATCAAACAGTACGTCAAAAACAAGTCGAAAAAGTGAAGAATTAAAATTTATGTTTTGTAATGACAAAATGGTATAATGTATGACTTTTTAATAGATTAAGGTAGCACTACTGAAATAAGGCCGGTCTACTAGCATTTTGGCAGTGCCGCCGGGGTTGTCATGCAATTAACAGAAAGAATAATTAAAGAAAATCATGGTCTTTACTTCGACAACTATTCGGAAATAACCATATCTTCCAACTTTTGTTAGTAAAATCACTTTTTGCAGTGGGTACGATACGAGTAAACCGCTTTTTTATTCCTCAACTACCCACTGATAAAAAATTAAAGAAAAAACGGCGAGACTCTTTTTCTATTGCACTTAGTAAAGACATTAGGTATTGTAATAATCAAATGGTATGATAACAAAATCTGTTATCACAGCGTCCAATTTCATTGGAATCGGGAAAGATAACTTTTGTACTAGATGGGACAAAAAAACAAATAGTTATTTCCAAATCCCAAGACCAGAAGCAATAAAAATGTATAATGAATATATAGGAGGTGTTGTAATCAGTAATAAGTTTGTCTAATTTGTCTAGTTTGTGCACTTTCCAGGAGAGGACAATAAGAGTGACTTTTTGTTAAGCATTTATCGTTCATTGGTCAGATCTAGAAAATGGACTATTAGGGTGATATTTCCGCAATTGGCTTTAGTGAATTCATGGCAAGAATACAAGCACCAATCTCCTGCATTAGGACTCAACAGAAACAAGATAATTGATCCTCTGGCATTTCGCGAAAGTGTAACAGATGATACAATATTATTTAAACATCCTAAGAGAGGAAGGCCAAGTGGCACAGATTTACAAGTTCAAGAAAAAAAAGTATGAAGCAAGACCTTTTGTTCCTGTTCCATCTGTGGCAAATATGCGATCTATACAGTGTTTCAACGAAAATTTGACCTCTCCAGAAACTCGGAAACAAAGAGTTTCTTCAATAAAAAAAAACACGTCAATTTGTATTGGGAGCGGGACGAATTTGTATGCAATCAAATGTAATCCCTACTGCCCCGTATCATTTTTAAATATTTTTAAATAGCAAGTGTGGTCGAGCGCCGTATCATTTGAAAGGTATTTTTTTCTCTACACGACATCCTATTTTTTTCGGAATAATGTTGAAGATAATTTTGGATTTAACTAATTTAACGGTTGAACATCAGTAATAACAAAAAAACATAAAATTTCATCAAATTAACCAATTAAATGTTCAAAATGAACTCATGTGGCCTCCTTTCAATAATACAGTATATTTTCAAAGCCTCTCCGTATATTTGCAAATAGCCTCGTCGTATATCTGTCGCTCTGCAAGATCTGCATTCGGAGTGACGTATATTTTTCATTTTAGGTATCGCCACAAAAAAATCCAAAGGCGAAAGATCCGGTGACCTGGCCGGCCACTCTATTAAACCATTTCTGCCAATCCAACGCCCTGGAAACGTTGATTTAAAAATTATCTTACGCGTATATCATAATGTTGGGGGGTCTCGCCCTATTGGAAAGTCAATTCATCCTTTAAAAGATTATTATCAGATTCCAACGTGTCAGTGATGAGATGATCAATAACGTCTTTTAACAAATTTGAATAAGTTGTTCCGTTGAGACTAATTTTTAATTTAAAGTTAAAATTTTCCAGTACGTTATCTTTATCACTATCACTAGAATAATCTTCATTGTACCCATGGACACGTTCATGACTGTACCATTTTAAAAGAGTTTCTTCAAAATTACTGCCGCCTAAACGAATTTTTTTCCATGGAG